TTGTAGGTATACTAGTTCCCAATTTTCTAAAAATAAAGTTTCGTTTTCGTGAACAATTTGAGAGGTTTGGTATGGAACTTAACTTGTTGAAGATTTACTCATGAACCCGAGAATTGCAGTTCTCGCCTTCCTATTAGCTTTCCCAACCTACATTCTTTTAATACCAAAATATCCTCGGGTCGACCTTCCCAGGCTTATCGTTCGATAACATTAATTTTAGTCGACTTATCTGTCTCGGTCGATTCGACAGTCGGTAGTCGTTTCTTCTCGGGCTAAAATTAATTTTAAGCGAACGTTAACGAGGGATCACTGTATTTTGTCACTATACGCAACAGGAAAGAATGCAAGTCGAGAAAGCGAATAGAAACGCGAGAATTTGCGACTAGAATAAGCAAGATTGTGTTATAAAAGTAACTTCTATTTATATTTGATCGTTTCTGCTGTCGCTTATAGGTGAATTTATCTTTTAATTATGTTCTTGTTTTAACATCAGTCCCATTTCGCTCGAAATAAATGTCATTCTGAGTAATGCGAGCCGTCTGTGCAGACCGTGCGTCCAGATAAGACACGGTAATAGCGAAACTACGAAATAGTTCTACTTCCGTCTGTAAGCGATATTGCTCCAATGGAAACACCTGAAAATCTGCACAGATTGCAGTATATTATAGAAGCTCCGTAAAAGCGCGTTGATGTGGCGCGTGCTGCTTTCTAATCGTTCGCGAGTATTACGCGCGAATGATCAATTATCAATTATTACCGTGTTACGCGCATGTTACTCGTAGGCTGGTTCGCATATTTAGTACCTGGTGGTTGCTTTGTCTCGCTGGAGACAGGTGAGATATCTAGAACTGGTTAGCGTAACATTCTGTCGAAGATCACACCTCGGAGTTCACGCAGGTTTTCGAAAGAGAAATGGAAAACGCATTTTCTTCCATTTTCTCGATGTAAATTCTCTCGCGTACGGGTTCGTAAATATCACGAAAGATTAATCGTTTCGGAATTAATCGATTCTTTTTTGCTCGCGAGGAGAAAGGTGTGATATCTCAACATTCGTCAAGCGACAACTTTATGAAATTAGAAATTGTTTTTTATACAGATCAGCACCGATAGCGGTATCTGTGATTGCAATGGATTCGATAAGCACATTACTTTCCATCGTAAAGTAAAATAGCAATAAATTCCACCGAAGACTTAGATCCGGAAGTTTTAGAAACGTGCTACGAATTTCAACTTCCTCCGCTTGCTCGGTTTACTTCGTAGATAAACATTTTTCGCGCGTCTTAAATTACTTCAAACGCAAGGAAATTTACGAACCAACGATTAAAATCGCAGAATAATAATAGTATACAAATTTTTGCAAATTTAAAGAATTTATTCGAGTATTATTATCGTTCGAAGAATAATAAAAATTGTACAAAAAATTAATTTCTTGCAATAAATATCAAATCATTCATATTATTAAGTCACATTGGATTGGATTTGTTGCAAACGCTAAACCGTTAAATAAGCCGTAGCAAATGTAAAACAGATCGCTAATAATCGCAGACAGCTATTGGTACTGTAAATACGATGAAAAAGGAAATACTTTTGAACGTTTATATTCCTCGTGCGCGGTAATGAAGCCGTTTACCCGATGACGGAACGCGATTCTAAAGGAGCATCACGAGGAAACAGAGTCAGAAACGCCGTGGTCTACTAGCAAGGTGAACGCACGTAACTAATTATCGCTGACACCTATATTCCCGATCCCCGGAGTACTTCCAGCAGATACTACAAATTACACGGCCCGATGCTGGCAAGAAAGCCGGAACCCATGAAAGTCTAGGCGAAGCCCGCGTGCCTCTAACAAGAACGAATGCGCCACGATCCGCTCTTGACCGTAACGCTTTCTTTCATTAGTTATATTCCCTGCAAAATACTCTCATGCCTCGCGTCTACGTGAATTGAAAATACAAATGAACCCCGCGTAAACGCAACACCGGCCACTGTCTGACTTTCACTGTCCACTTTTCTTCGCACGATGTGCCTGAGAATCCGTGAAATTTCATTCCACGCCCGCGCAGACCGAGTTTTTCCACCTCCGTGTGGAGAATTTGCTCGTTCGTTAGGCTCCTGTTACTGGGAATACAGCGGTCGGGGTTGTTTTATTCGAACCTGGAAGAAAGTAAACGACTTTCTGCGAATAACACGCCTCTCGTCGCCCAGCGCTATCATACCACAACTTTGTAGTAGTAATTCGTTATTTAGTAACGTGAAATTCGAACGATAACACTTTCATAGTGTCGGACGGGATATTAAACTACGACTTTGTAGAATAGTTTTTTTATTTACTGCAGATTTATTTTTAAGCTCACGATTTGAAAAATTATTCTTATCATTTTTGGGCTTACCGGTGTTAATTATTGTAGTTTGCGTGTAATGACTGTAGTTTTATCAAAATTTATTTATTTATTTATCATATGGGTAAAAACTCATTATTGTACAAGGGGAAATATAACGATATTTTTACAGTTCAGATAGAGGTGCTCATAGATAAACAGTATATACCATATAATATAGAAGTACGCATACATACACGAGACTTATAATTTAATTATAAATCTATGTTTTTGAACGAGGAAATTACAAGTCTTCGGTGAACTATCACTTTTGAATCGTTACTAGTATCAAGATAATCGAGACTTGGAAGGGTAAACACTGTAATTTCTAAGTTAAGAATACAGTATTGTATTCTAGGTGTGTCAGAATCAAAAGAGGTCTAGGTTGCTGATTTTCTGAACAAATACTATTGAGTACTGTAGAGAAACGCGTGTCATTGAGACTCCTCTGTCAAGCCCACGCCATAATCCACATTCCTTGAAACTCGTTCTTCTGGTTAACGAAGCTTTGTACATAAAGTTGTATATTTTCAATTTATTTTCGCTGGTAGAGTCAACTATCGTAATATAGAATTCAAACCTTTTAAAGATGTCTTCACAAATTCCGTTTAGAATACAGTTTGAAATAAACGTGCCGCCATTTTTCTTCGAAGCCACACTAGGAACATTTTTTATCTCCTTTGTTTTGGATTGTATTCTCGGAAAATTCTATTTCTCCGAAACAATTCCTACGTAACAACGTCCAAGATTTATGAACCGTGAAATTACACAGCGAATAGGGGATCCAAGAATAAAGGAAACGGCAACAATTTGGCGATCCTAAAGATAGCGAAACCCGCGTGCCACGAATCATACTATTCTATGTCATTGTTGTCGAGATTCGGTTAAATCGAGAATGAAATACTTTTTTATGCACGCAAATTTAAGAAGATTAGTGAAAGCCCGGTTACATAGGTACGTATCTTCGGAGTTTATGTTTTACTATACAAAATTTCTTCCGTATCTATGGTACAATCTCGTTAAATTTTCATTCCTACAAGATTTTGTTATTACTATATTCTTTTCACTAAAATTCTTTCTTTATCTAGATCTATCCCGAATAATATAGTTTTTAATCCATTTCCTACTTATTAATTTTCTAAATAAAACATTATAGAACACTTGTATAAAGTGAAATTTATTTATTCAATTTACCAGTATATCTACTTTATTTTAATGCGTGTGAAAATTACATTTTCTTTGCAAACCTCGATCGAACAGAATTATAAAAATTTTCCTATTAAGTTACTCTTTATTACATTTTATTTTCCCATGAATCGTTTCGATTATAATTATTATTTTATCTCTTATTTACGCGTTGCTGGATCTGGAACAAAAAGTGTCCAGCTTCATTCCAATCTAAAGAAAGGTTTCCCTTTCGCGGCCGGTAAATCAAAGCGTCTCGCTAAAAGCTTCCACGCAACGTACGGCAATTATCCTAATTAAGGACACGCATGTCCGGCCTGGTGGACGGAAAAATTCGCGAAAACTACCGGGGATCGCGGCGTATTCATTGGCCGTAATGGATGAGACGAGGAAGCGGAAACGCTACGTAAAAACTGCACGTGAGAATCGGTATCCAGTAACGAGACTTTTGGCACGGAACCTCTTACGTAAAAGCGGCGGTTGTTTGCCAGCGAAACGAAAGTCGTGTCGCAATCTCCGCTTCCGAGATCGTCTGCCTCGCTCTCGCGATCCATCGATCTCCCGACCGATCTCGAATTTAAGTTCTCGTGCACGGCCGTAGAAACGAGCGCCGGAAGAGCTCGCGTCGGCCGAGTGCGGGCATTGAAATCACCCAGGAAGTCGTGCATCGCGTGATACGAACACGCGTTTGCCAGAAATTCTTCTATTCGTTCGGTTACGTTCGCGGTTACTCAAATATCAGGATCGTAAATCAACTTCGCGAATTGAGGCTTGCGATCTCTGCCGAGAAAAACGGACATTTTTTGTTTTTATTAACCTTTCGATTGCTACTTTCTAACCTTTCAATGGCTGTCCATACGTATAGTCACTGGGAGCTCTTAGGAAATATATAAATATACAATTCATTTGTTAAATTATTATTAAATAGTTTTGTATTCGCGAAAAAATTTTTCTTTTAATACTGTCATTCGAAATATTTCATTTTGAGTTTTTCTATTGTAATCGAATTTAAATACAGTTTTTTCCAACACATATGATTTGGATCGAATTAAATATGCTGTTTATTTATATAGATTAATTTGATAAAATATATGTAATTAAATTTTCAATTATTTTAATTCGCTTTAAGGAAGAAGGTGTCAAAAATGACAAAGCAGATCGTTGGAAGAAATTTTTATTTATACCTGAAACACAGTCTGGCGTAAAAGTAAATGTTTTTGCGACGGATGGCACGGTTACATTATTGTACGATTTTTGGTTGACCACGTTGGCAATCATCGCTGCAACGAACGTAGAAGTATTTACAAGTCGTTGTATCGGCTAAAGGAATTAAATAGAGGCGCAGTAATAAATATAGGATACAAAGTTGTAGAAGGTTCAAGGTATTATAAATATTAATGCAGTTATTCTTAGTCGACTGAGAACGATCTTCGGATTTTGATACGTGGTATAAATAATGTTTGTTCGCTGAACTACGAAATTACTATTTTAGTCACGTTACAGTATTCGCTGCAGACGCGTGAAATCTATCGTTTAACCTGTTTCCAGAAGCAAACTGAAATTTCTTCGAACAAATTCACGCGCACCATTCTAAATTATAATTTTTCAATTCGTACGACCAGTGTCGTACTCACGGATCTAGAAAGCTAACACACCTCGCGCCAAACGGTTCACCAGCCTCGTATCGGGAGAATACTTTCATCTTGATCCATTAACAATGCGTTACGATCTCTCACCGACCTCCCACGTATCGTTTCCTCTTCATTTGCCAGTCCTCCTTGATAATGTCGCTCGCCTTTTCGCCGATCATGATCGTAGGAGCGTTCGGATTTCCGCTGACGATCACGGGCATGATCGATGCGTCCGCCACCCTCAGTCCTTTCACCCCGTAAACTCTCAATCTCGGATCTACGACCGCCGTTGGATCGTTCCTTGGTCCCATTTTGCAGGTTCCGGTCGGATGGTAGATCGTGAAAGTGAAATGTCGAATCGCGCACTCCCAGTACTCGTAAGTGTCGAAAGGATAGCGATGGCAGCCAGGCATGCGAATAGTGTGAGGCCTGGAACCGAACCTTTGAAAAGCCGTGGTATTGGACAACTGCAAAGCTATCCTGATCCCCTCCACCAAGATATCCATGTCTTCTTTGTGCGTGAAATAATTAGGATTAATGTCAGGATAAACTAGGGGATTCCTGCTCTTCAGTCTCACCCATCCTGAGCTCCTGGGTCTCAACAGAAGCGGCAGAATGGACCAGGTCTCCGCGCGATTCAATGGTTTGTACATAGTGTTGTACACCCTGTCCCTCAATCCGGTAATTTTCTTGATCTGGTCGCCGCCGTCGGAATTTATCGAGCTGGGCGCGAAGTGAAACTGAATGTCGGGGTAGTCCTCGAATTCATCCGCGTATTTCGAGTTTACGAAAGCCAAACCCTCGACTCCGGGACTGGTCATAGGGCCCCTCTCGTTCAGCACGTACTCGATCATCACTGGCATGGTCTGGAAACGGTCCTTCTTCAGGCTGATGGGTTCGTTGACGATGAACGTCAGCCCACCGAGGCCCACGTGGTCCTGAAGATTGTCGCCCACCCTCAGGTCCGACATCACCGGTATATTGAACTCTGCTAAGTGTTCTTTAGGCCCGATCCCCGATAGCATCAGCAGCTGGGGCGAATTGATCGCCCCCGCCGATAGAACGACCTCCCGTCTGACTCTCACGATCTGCTGGCGGCCATCGCGAAGTATCTCGACCCCCGTCGCTCTCTTGTCGTTGTTGAACAACACCCTCAGAACTTGCGAGTTCATCGCTATGTGGAGGTTCTCCCTGTTCTTGACCGGCCTCAAGAAGGCCTTCGCCGTCGAGCAACGACTACCTCGGCGTATCGTCGCCTGCGTTAGCATGAAGCCCGTCTGTTTCTCCCCGTTTATGTCGCGGATATCGTAGCCCAGCTCCTGGCCAGCCTGCAGAAACGCGAGCGACAATGGCGTCCTCCATGGTGCTTCTTGTACGGTCAGGTAGCCTCCTGTAGCGTGATACGGCGTCCTCGCTAAGTAAGGATTACGGTTGTCTTCGGATTTCAGGAAGTACGGGAGAACCTCTTCGTAGCTCCATCCTTTGTTACCTAGCCTTGCCCAGTTGTCGTAGTCGTGGCTGAAATTGTTGGGAACATTAGAGATATGATTTACATAGTTCGGTTGAATTGTTGAGATGCATTGAAAAGGCTTACTAATCTTATTCTTAGTTCTTATATATTATATAGTTGGGTAATTTACTAATAGTACTAAACATGCTGATTCCAACGACCTGAAAGTTTATCACTGAATGTTCTACAGCAAATATTTAAATTGTAATTATTAGAACATTCGAGTTATAATACGATCGACGCCTTCATAGGCGCGAGGTTGCCACTTACGAGTGTGTCGGGTTGCCTATTGCCAGGGACGCTTCAATTAGAAGCACGGAGAGGAATGTAATAATTATCAATTTAAATATTCTAAGCTTAGAATTATTCATTCGTTTATACGAGCATAAATTAATGAATCTAATTTTAAGACTAAAAAGATACATAATATCGTTGAAACTAAGAACGACAATTACTTTTCATTTCAAAACGTTCTTGTTCCATTGAATTAGGTGTTCTTACAGTGAAAATTATAGGGGTTCAAAATATTGTAATAATGTAGGTTTCATAACCGTGCTAGTAAGTCGTTTTTGTTCCTTGATAGTTAATAAAGAAACGATTTGATTTAACTCTAATCTCAGAATGTGACTTTAGGTCGCATACCAATTGTCTATAAATAAATTTATATAGTAATAATATGTTTTTATAATTTAATAGTATACAAACGGTTATTAATATATAAATTTACTAACAGACTCTACAGTTAGTTAGTAGGTGACACAAAGTTATACCTCGGTAGGATTAAAATTAAACTATAATCGTTTAATACTCTGGAGAGTCCCATGTATAATTTAGTTTGATAGTAGAAAGATTTCTCTTGTATAACTTAAATTGATCTCGAATTACCGATTACCCCGGACATAAATCATAGCGTTCAACACGCTGCTGCCGCCAAGAACTTTTCCACGCGGCCAGTTGCACCTGTCGCCGAGCATGGCAAGACAATAAGCGGAGACGGTCGGTGGTGAAGTTTGGTATTTCCAGTCGAATTCGGAAAGCTGGGTGTACCCGGCCAACAGAGGAACGTCCGAGATTTCATTTTCGTCACTGCCTGCTTCTAAAAGTAGCACCGTCCAATTTGACACCTCTGACAGCCTCGATGCAATTACTGCACCCGCGCTTCCACCTCCAACTACTATAAAATCGTACGTCCGCAGCAGCTGCAATATAACATAAAGCAACATTCTCATAATCCATCATACAAAACCTCCAAACATTTTTCAAAATAGTTGCGTAATTAAAGTAGAAAAAATTATGAAGTGTAGATGTTACGAGTAGACCTTACATCTACGAACTTTCGTGGCTCAATCTGACTGTCATACTGACCTGAAAATTCGGAGGTAATTTTAGCGTTCTAAAAGTATTGAAGAACATTTCCATACAGCGTCAAATAAATTTATTAAAAATCAAAATAGGTAGGTGGAGAATTTTTCGGCGAAATTAAAAAATTTCAAATCGTTCTAAAAAAATTATTTTTGCCTGCAGGGGTCATATTCAATCATTTTTGGTGAATAGACATACCCCGGAAATCCTACGCATTTTCGAGAAAAAAATTCATTACCAAAAATATTGTATAATGTATGGTCAGAAATGTTTCTCCGAAATTTCATAACTTCTCGACAGATTGGTGGATTTTAATGTTCCAAAATGGAAACAACACATATGTATAGTTTTAATTCCGTTAAAAAACAATAAAATTTCTGTAATTTCATTTTCTGTCTCACTTCCTCTTGTGTTCATTTCTGTAACCTGTTGGTAATGTCGCGAGTGATACGAAAATGGTAATGCATCTTGTGACTCCATAAAAACGGTTCGAAAAAATACAGTGGGTGAAAGGTCTACTCGTATATCTCGTCTGTGGCGTAAGTTGCACGTAATTCGGTACTACGAACGATCTATAATCTGTTGTATCGACTGTGAGTAACAGTTGGGATTCTTGGAAGGATAGTGAATCGGATCATACCTTTCGTTAATGTGTATTTGATTCTTGTTCTGGTAAATAATTTTTATTTTATAATCTTATTAATTCTTTTTTATACGAGTATTAGAAGCTTGTATTTCCTGATACGTTATTGGGCTTTGTTCCTAAATAAATAGAAATCAATTTGTGCAATTAATTAGTGGGAATCGTTAAAATTTGAATCAAACCTCGCGAGCATTCGTCGGATGAGACTCTGGATCCGCTTGATTGTATCGGAACACGGTCAGGCTGATCGCTAGCAGGGGGATCAAGCTGAATCCGAGGATCGATGTAGTACTCAGCAAAGTGGTCAGACCTATTGCCATTTCCGTTCAATTCCATCCCGTGACAACTGCTTCCAATTGCGTGCCATTCGACAGGTGAAATATGTCGATTGAAATTATCTGAAATATGATAACAGCGTTTGTTCTTATAATGTTTCCAAATAGATACATTGCAATTCACTTGTGCCTTTCTGAAGGGATTTAATTTTACATTCACATCACGATTAGAGGAAGATAAAACGATTTCTAAATACTATCAAAAAGATGTCCCCGATTTTGAAATTCGTCCTTTACTGAAGAATATATTTCTTAAACGATTACGACATGGAATCGTTTAATATTAATTAATGCTAATGTCATTTTTATGTTGACATAAATTCGAATTCGCAATGAAAATGTCAACTCGAAAATATTACATAAAACTGTCGACTTTCTCTTCAGATCAATCCTATATTACGAAATAGGAAAGCAAAGAGACGAAATATGGACGAATGATAATAGAATCACTGTCAATACCATATTTGTACCGACCGAACGCACGAAAACCATTAGGCCCAATTAACATAACTATAGCTGTGAACGTTAAACGACTTTCGCGGTAAGCAGGTCTGAGAAAATTTTATTTCGAGCAAGGCCCAAAGATTAAATATCGTAGCACGTTGATTTTCGACTCGTGAGCTTTGAGATAGATTCAAAATAAAATGATTATATTCCCTGTACAAATTAGAAAAAATAATAATATGTGATAATTTTGGTAATCTTTACTATAAATATATTTTTCTTATAAAAAAATAAAAAAGTTTCGATAATTAATGTATTAATAGAAACTGTCTAAGTTATGCATTATTTGTTGCGTTAAAAATTTTCTATCGCCCCCACGTGTCACAAAATTCAAATCACAAACTTCTATATTTCGAATCTTAATTGTTTCTAAAAAAACGCTCACTGGAACGAAATATTCTACACCCCTTTAGACCTACTTTCATCCCTTCAAACATTACATCATCAAGATTTCCAGCGACACGGTTGCGGAGTTCCCTCGTTAAATTAGCACAATATCTGTATTCCAAGAGGCCCAGCAATCAGAATCGAGAACGTTAATTAACTATACAATGTTTATAGAAGGGCCAGAACTCACGAGCATCAAATTCCCCGCGTTTCTTCAGCGACGAGCACACGGAAGTCACTCGTGCAATTTTCACGGTCACTCGTTCTTCTTCAGACTTTATCCTACTTAACTGCACTTTCTCGTGGCACTCGAACTTTCCCGCGTTTCACGACCGCGTTTCCGGCGATGGAGCTTGTGTCCAGGATCGTGCATCGATCGACAAAAATCATTAAGCACCGACGAGTGCACGGTTCCTCGCGAATCGAGTCAACCGCGAGAGGATTCGTGAATAGTTGCGCACCGGCTGAATCCGACCGCGTTGTGGCGAGTGCAGAGAGTGAGAGAACCCGGAGAGAGGTATACCCAGGTAACTCCTTTCAATGACGGCTTCGAAAACCACGAAACGAAACCACGTCGCGACCCCGTACCACTCGTCTCTCGGTATGCGTACGTTTAACAGGTTGAGTGTTGGTGGCCGCCATCGCACAGTAGGACAGAACGCGATAGTAACAACAATAGTTATCCAAGAACCAAAAATAACATCCTAAGAATTTTTATCAAAAAAATCTTGTTAACCAAAAACTCGTTACTTCGTTCGAGGATCGTTTTAACGATTACACAATAATTACTTATGACTAGACTGCGGATGTTTATGCATTTATAGGAAATTTTAATCCTCAAAAAACTACAGAATGCATTTAATATGCAAAAATATAAGAAATACTTAAAGTAAGATACGAATTATTATATTTAACGGTTAAGACAACCCTCTGCGAAGCTTCTGTTTCATTAATTCTATTAATAAAAATGTGAATTTGCATAAAGATCCGCAGTCTACTTATGACCGAATATTTTTACAATCGCTCGTAAAGTCGGCCAGTTGCAGTTGACTACAGTTCTTGTTCGCTTTAGAAATTTGTATCTAGATAGGAATTTTATCTATAACAATGACAATAATTGTCCAGGGACTAAAAATAACATCTTAAAAATTTCTGTAAAAAAAGTCTCGTTAACTAAAAACTTGTTACTTCGTTCGAGGATCGTTCTAATGGCCAAAATTTAAATACAACATTGGTTACACAATAATTACTTATGACCGAATATTTGTATAGTCGCTCGTAAAGTCGGCCAGGTGCAGTTGACTACAGTTCTTGTTCGTTTTAGAAATTTGTATCTAGATAGGAATTTTATTTATAACAATGACAATAATTGTCCAGGGACTAAAAATAACATCTTAAAAATTTCTGTAAAAAAGTCTCGTTAACTAAAAACTTGTTACTTCGTTCGAGGATCGTTCTAATGGCCAAAATTTAAATACAACATTGGTTACACAATAATTACTTATGACCGAATATTTGTATAGTCGCTCGTAAAGTCGGCCAGGTGCAGTTGACTACAGTTCTTGTTCGTTTTAGAAATTTGTATCTAGATAGGAATTTTATCTATAACAATGACAATAATTGTCCAGGGACTAAAAAGAACATCTTAAAAATTTCTGTAAAAAAAGTCTCGTTAACTAAAAACTTGTTACTTCGTTCGAGGATCGTTCTAATGGCCAAAATGTAAATACAACATTGGTTACACAATAATTACTTATGACCGAATATTTTTATAGTCGCTCGTAAAGTCGGCCAGTTGCAGTTGACTACAGTTCTTGTTCGTTTTAGAAATTGATATCTAGATAGGAATTTTGTCTATAACAATGACAATAATTGTTCAGAGACCAAAATTAACATCTTAAAAATTTCTGGGGAAAAATTCTTGTTAACTAAAAACTTGTTGCTTCGTTCGAGGATCGTTCTAATCAGAACACAACGTTACACAATAATTACTTATGACCGTATATTTTTACAGTCGCTCGTAAAGTCGGCCAGTTGCAGGTGACTACAGTTCTTGCTCGTTATTAGAAATTTGTCTCTAAATAACAATTTTATCTATAGTAACAGCCATAGTTATCCAAGAACCAAAAATAACATACTAAAAATGTCTATGAAAAAAATCTTGTTAACTAAAAACTTGTTACTTCATTCGAAGATCGCTCTGATGATCAAAATGAAAATATAACATTCGGTAAATATACATTTTTAAACCTTTTGATTACACGATAATCATTACCTCTGACCTAATATTTTTACAGTCGCTCGTGAAGTCGACCAGGTGCACTCGAGTACAGTTATTGCTCGTTATTTGTGCCTAGATAAGAATTTTACCCATCTTTGTTCCCCGGATGTTATCTTCCTGCGTGCGAATTAAAAGTCTCTACACAACGTGTCGCAATCTTTCTCTTTGCTTTTATGGAGTGAACCAAGAAGCCACATATTCGACCGCGTACTTTCTCTCGTCTACGGTCCGCGTGCCATTCAGGGCCTCAACTTCTTGTGGCTTTTGTGCATCTCAATTCGGACGTTTGCACCGCTTGTGCGTACCGAGCAGCATTCAAATCACCGTCAATTTTCGCGCCGACTCCATTTTACCGCTTACATAGAAGCCGTTCGCACGAGAGTTGTGCAAATCCATTGAGAATTTAACGAATACGACGCAATACCTTCCGACGTATAAAGGAAACAATTATTGAGACGAAACATTTTGAAAAATTTAGTAAAACATCTATGGCGTATGTTGCTGATGTAGGTTAAACATACAATCAATATGATTCCTTTTTGTCTTTTCATTATTAACCTCTTCAGGGACAATTTTTTTTGTCTATTTATTATTGACAGTAACTATAATTTAAAAAAAAAAAACTAAACGTCCACATATGTGGCCAAGGGCGTGAAGTGGTTAAGGATAGAGAAAAAATTGAAATCTCTCGTGTGAGATCGTATTTATTTATCTTAGTTTGCCAAATACATGTCTACAGATTTTCGTTTCAAATTGGTTTTATAACCAAAATGAGTTTAACAAATGCTTTCTTCAAACACTCTGTTCAAATAATCGTGCCGTGCCGCTCATCGTTTTCCCCGTTAACCTTGGCCTTGCTGTTAGGTTCGTGGCGAAAGAGGCGACGATCTGCCTAATTTTCTTCCAACTGGTCTCGTGGAATCTTTTACCTTTAAAATATTTGATTAGAAAATGGTTGGAAGCTTATAAATCTTTATAGCAAAAATCAAGACAAAATTGTGATTTCAGATTAAGGTCAAAGTATTTAGAAATGAACTTGAGTGTATATTATACTGTTTAAATAACGATTGAACAGTTTCCAACTTTTTTCATCGTACGTTTTACAAGTTCAATGCACTGTTTCAAGTATGTAACGTTCACTTTAACTTTCAAATTTACTATATTCATTACAGTTCGGTGCGATAATATAACAGGCTACTAAAATAAAAAACCAATAATTCCAATTGTTTTACTTATCTGATTTCTGATTAATTCTTTTTCAAAAACTCATTGTTGGAAGTACATGGGATGTCCTTCCTTCCGGCTGCTGATTGTCAAGTCATTCATCGTAAATATTGAAGTTTCTCCTGCACATTTACATTCGAAACGTATTACGATACAAAGAACAACTCACGTAGACCATACGACACGAGAAAGTAAAGATCTCCTACATGTTAATATAATTATTTACGTTTCAATATCTACGCAATATGTCGATATCAAATTACGTATCTTTGCACTTTCTTTTTGTTAGTCGTCCTTGTAAGAATTCTTTTGGAAATAACTACTTTCGAAATTAGTAATTTTCTATTTAGGCTTAGACTATTATTTTCCCCATGAATATTATTTCTTCTTTTCAAACAAAATTATCATTTATAAAAATGTACGTAGTGGTATATTAATTTACGTTTCTTGTTATCGTATAATTTTCATTTATACGGGATTCATTGGGCACCCATAAAATATGTACACCATAACCATATCTATAATTAAGTGGCATTTTTACATAATTGTTTATTCCTAATTTTATTTATTTACCTTTATCTCTGAACATTGATTGCATAGTTACTTATTTATTTCTATAAGATATCATATATCTTAATTTCCTGCTAATGAGATGGAGTTCTAATTAGAGAACTTCTTTATCGGTTAAGGATGATGGAGAATCCAGTAATTCTTACTTGCAATATTCTGTTCTTAGAGTTCGCTAGGTACGTTCATGTGCTCTACTTTCTCGAATTAAAATTAAATTCCAAAGTAAAACAGCCTAATTCCGAAACAAAATATTTGCAGAAAGTTAAAGCTTCTCTGAAATTAAAAGAAGATTCCAAATTTTCCAAGTGTCGAAATTGAGTGTTCCAATTCTCATGAACTTTCATCACATTAAAGAGTTTTTTTTAACAAAATTTGAAATTTCTGGTCGCTTTCCAAACGTTCAAGAAAATTAAAAATTATTTTTATTAGTCTCTTAAATTTTTACAATTATTATTAACTTTTATCAAATTTCTGTTGCACATTCACTTTTCAGAATGTTTCGTGTAAAAGTAAATTAATCGCAAAATTGATTAATATTTACTTTGAATGCAAGTCGATAGGCTTTAAAAGGGAACACGTATTTTATCCATAAAGGCTGAAAGATCGGAGATTTCTTATTAACGAGTTATGCAACAAGTTACGAGTGAAATGTACTTTCATTCGTTTCATTCAAGGACGTTTAAAAGGTAGACGAGTAATCGTGAAATTCGGGTCTCACCCTATAAATCTTGATTGACAAATAATGAACGTAGGTATTTCAACAAATAGCAATAAAATTGCTTAAACATTAAAACCCCCTGATATCCATTTTTATTATGAAAAATTTTGCATAGATATTTTTGGATAGAGCTTGTTTATTTATATATTTAAATCATTCATTGTCAAAACTATTTTATAAAAATTTCTTTAGAATGGAAAGATGTTTATCAATATTTACATACTTTCAAAATTCAGAATTTAAAAAATTGAATACTCAGACTTTGCTCATAAATAAAAGATGTGGGTAGGAATATCTCAAATAAATTTCCATTTGATTCTTCCGTGCACTTTACTTATACATTTTCGGTAAAATAAATTACAAAATGTTCCCTTTTCAATGGTCTACGAGAAAGACTTTCGAACAAGTTTATTGCTTCCTAGGTAGCCACACTCGCAATTTTGTGCGACAATCGGAAAATTTGCGAGCTCGAAACAGAATTAAAAGCAGTCTGTTCGTCCTGAGAAAGCGTAGACACATTGTTCGCACCAGTATTGAGTAATGGTAGCGTAATCGAGAATTATTCCCTGCGTAAAGTAAAACCACTTTTACGACATACTAATATGGCTATATACTGACCGTTTGTCGTGATAATCACATTGGACGCTTTAAAGAAATGCTACTAAAACTAACTTATTGACTGAGTAACTTGGCATATTTTAAATTGTTCACATTTCTATACACAGAATCGATAGTGAAATATAATTCATTCAAAATCAATTCGACGATTGTTGATCGTGATAATAATTAGTGCATCTAAATAACCAATATAATTATTTACAAAATTAATATAAGTCTATGTTTTCATAAAAATCGAAACTACAATATGTACAGACTGTAATTCTAGTATAATTTTGATTAATTTTAATACGTGACGTTGCAGTCTAATAAACTTTATGCGTTAAAATGTAAGAGCAGAATTTGATAAATTAATCAGCAGGTACGATTTTCTAAATTTTGATTTCTAACAACTCCGCTCGTTATTTTTATTTATTTGGCACGTTCGATAGGAATTAAAAATAAATGGTCGAACATGGGACGCAATCGATAACAATGTATTTACTTTATTAGTAATCACATCACACCCTATGTAAAGGGCGACCAAACTACCTTCGTTCTTGCTTTCTTGTTGGTCAGAATATGGGACAGTTGAAACAGGTGTGTAGCAATGCGTATCGATTATGTGGTAACATATAAATTCTAAGAGTTCAGAACAAGTTCGTCGAAGTGGTTACGTGCTTTATCTCCATCTTTCTCCCTCGTCTACAGACTCAGTGAACTTATTAAAGGCAAAAAACTTTCCAGAATTACATTTCGTTATTCGTGTTCGTCTATGTCTTTTCATAAAAACGAATGATGAATTAGTTCACGATCGATTCGCAAGACCGTCGGTATAAATTAACATCGATCCTTACAAGAGAACAAGAACAATTCCACGTGCAAACAACACTCATAGGCAAAATAAAAACTTGTCAGGTGTTTTTCTAACGACATCATTAGGAACTAAAACGGTTTTTTTCGTCGTAAACACGTAACACATAACACTTTGACAGTCATGAATACATCAACGGCAGTCCTCGGGGCTAAAGTCCTCCTTCCATTGAGTCTGCTCCCAGCCAAGTTATTCCGTCGCCGGACTTATCGTTTAGAAAACAACGAACGGCGGCTCGTTCGACTCGAACATGACCGATTTCTCGGCAAGAATTCGACGTTTCAAGAGCCGGCGATCGTAACGTTGTCCCTCTTCCGACGCGACAACCACTGTTTCTTAATCATATCCGCTCCTTTCTCTCCGATCATGATCACGGGGGCATTTATATTTCCATTCGTGATGGTGGGCATGATGGACGCGTCGATCACCCTCAATCCGTCAACCCCGTAGACCCTCAATTCCGGATCCACCACGGCCATTGGATCGCTCGACGGGCCCATTTTCGCGGTGCAACTCATATGATAAATCGTCATGGTGTACTGTCGAACAGCACAGTTCCAATACTCGTCGGTGAACATCGGTATGTGTTTACAATTGGGCAGTGGTTTGCTATGGAATCTAGCTCCAAACCTTTTCATGCTGCTAGTCTCCCCAAAAGCAATGGCCGCCTTGACGCCCTCGCGCAACACCCCAACGTCGTCCGGATGAGTCAGGTAATTGTGATACATCAACGGATAGTCCAAGGGATTCTTCGATCTGAGCTTTATGAACCCGCGTGACTTGGGCCTGAGCATCATGGGGAATACCCCGAACACGTCTCGGTTGTTGATTTTCCCGAACACCTCGTTGTAGAACTCGTCGGTCAGCCCGTGAGCGTTCTTCACGTGCGTGCCTCCGTCCGAATTGGTCGACGAGGATGTCAGCATGAACTCTATGTCCGGCCAGTCGTCCGACTGGTTCGCGTACTTGGTGGAGATGAACCCAACAGCCTCTAAACCGACGTTAGAGGTCAGAGGTCCGTCCTCGGTGACGGCGTAACGCAGAGCCGAGTTGATGTTCACCAGACGGTTCATCACCACGCTGATCTCGTAGTCGATCAGAAAAGCGAGGCCACCCACCGCTATGTGGTCTTGCAGGTTCTGTCCGACCCCGGGCGAGTCGTGTATCACCGGAATACCCAGTTCCTCGAGGTGTTGTCGAGGCCCGATGCCCGAGAGCATCATCAACTGGGGCGTGTTTATAGCGCCGGCTGAAAGGATCACCTCTTTCCTCGCGTAGACCACTTCTTTGCGCCCGTTTCTGATGAATTCCACTCCGTGTGCCTTTTTCGTTCGCGGATCCACCAGAACCCGGGTTACGTGACTCCACAAAGACAAATGGAAGTTCTTTCTTAATTGAATGGGTCTTACGAACGCCTTTGCGGCGCTGCACCTCGCTCCTCTTCTCATTGTGTATTGATAAAACGCGAAGCCGGTTTGCTGCTCGCCGTTCACGTCCACCAGATCGTAACCCATTTCCTCGCCTGCTTGCAGAAACGCTACCCCTAGGGGCGTGTTGTACGGCGCATCTTGAATCGTCAGGTACCCTCCTTGAGACAAAAAGTACGACAAATGGTTTTTAGTGACACGCGCAGTGCTAATGATTCTTAAGATGAACATCGCTCCGGGGTAGGCACGTTCATCGTTCGTAGTCTTTCACGCTTTACAACGACGATTCTTCCAGCTAGGGAGGGATATAAATGTTCAACTTACGAATCACGATCATTTTAAGAATCATTACTGTACTATACGTTCTACTTTCTTGATTCGGTTACTTTTCACGCTCATGATTTATCAATATTGATAAGTGTAAAGGTAGTTTTATAGTATTCGTTTAGGCACGATCATTTTAAGAATCATTACTGTACTATGCGTTATACTTTCTTGATTCGATTTTCTTTCCGCGTTTGCGATTTCCCAATATTGATATGAGCAAAAGTAATTTTATATTATTCGTTTAAACAAGTTCAGTAACCGACAAATACAATTTATGAAAAGAAAAACAGTATACAATGTATATATACAGTTACTCCCAGTTGTATTCGTACACTGTAAAAGTGATTCACGATAAATGATTAAAAGGTTGGTTCTACATTGAGATATTTAAGGGTTTATGTTTGAGTAAATTAAATAATAGATTCTTCGTGTTGCATGTTTCGTATTTGTTAATATTGTAATTTATGCAACGTAATGGGTTGTTTAGTCCGTGGTCAAGAATTCTTTCACGCGCACGTACGTCATTCGTTGCAGTTTTATCCTTCCGTTAACGACGTCCTACTTTCATCCGAGTAATTTGCTCGCTCAACAGCGCAGAGAAACACTTCGAAATGATCCAAATTTCGTTTATTCGCGATGTTTTAGTCTAGCGTAATCTCTGTTACATTAGACTTGAACTATTCTTAACGTAATCGGTTTTTTATTTAATCGTGAACCGGTTTGTCGGTGTTTGATCCAGTTGTGTCGCTACAACTTGACCTCATTTCTAGGTGAACGTAAGGCTTCTTGCTACGTAATATCATTTAAGCATTCTTTCGACCATTTTATCATCACCGATAATACGCTAGTGAACGATAAGCGAGGAGACACAATTACGATCCTTGCAATCTTTCACATTTATCGATACGTATGATTTTCATTTTTCTTTAAAGAAATTTTTTGAGAACATCCTGCAATTGCTTATGACTGCAGTAACATGCAGAGCATGAAACATCTTTGAAAGAGAGGTAACTAACGAAAATAGAGATGGATATTTCATCGGAGACTCTCTACCTGTCGAATTACTCAGTTTCTATAGGAATCCAAACTCGTTATAATTTTAAAAAACAAACGTCCAAGTAAATACACTTTCCTATCGTCCCTCTAATCTAATTGAAACGAAAGTAACCAGTTTTCGAGTCTTACTTTTATTTTTGAGAATGTTCCCAATTGTGGAATACAATTTATTACCTGTACTATGATATTTGTTACGAGCTAAGTACGGGTTCCGTTGGTCCTCAGATTTTTTAAAGTAGGGCAAGACATCCTTATATCCCCAACCGGGATTCCCAAAACTCTCCCATTGGTCGAAATCACGGCGATTTCCACGAATGTAGAGCATCGTATTGAGCACACTCGAACCTCCAAGGACCTGGAATTTTAACGATTGTATTAGAAAAACGATCTTCAAATTTAACAATTTCTAACCCATTTTGGAATTGTTTTGCGTTAAAACGTGTAAATAGCTCGTGTAATAGCGTTAATCGCTCGCATGGATTGCGCCAGACTCTATTGTCTTCTGTTAATTCAACGGTAAAGTACGGTAACAATGAAATGCATGTTCCAATTTCTCCTCGCATTGCTGCACACATGAATTACTAATGTATACCATAAAAGACGACGAGATTTACCTAGTAAACGAAGCTATAAATTTTCAATGTTTTGTATACATTATATCTGTAAATGTCGCTAACTAAATTCACGAGTTTATTATTTTATGCAAAAACTTAATATTTGGATTACTTAAAAATATTGGAGTTTTTAAAACGCAAAACTTTTACGATATCAAAAATTAAAGTAAGCAAGAAAATAATTTGTCTTATCAGATAACAGATTTCTTTTTAGATGTTTATAAGGTGGCTCAAATTATTCGATCGATTGTGTAAGCGTTCGTTCAATTAACATTCGATTAAACAAATAAGTATTTCTTAATGGAAGTTTTTTCATTTCTATGATAATATTTCTCTGGTATATGTAATACGTATTCGAACAATTTATGTCTTTAGTAATAAGTATTTCTTATTTTCGAACGCTCGAATAAAAGTGGAATAAACCAAGGCTGCCCACAAACGATATTCCATATATTTTTTTTCTTTCAAAAATCATAATCTACGTTTAAAAATCATAGATCCCCATCATTTCATAAAACTGAATTCAAGAGAGTGTAGGTTTTTGTTTACAGTGCAATCTTTTCAATTCTTGGAAAAAACTTTTCTTTCTATTTAAGAATTAATATTGACAGATTTGAAAATCCAGACCACAGAAATAGTTAATTCGATAATTCTAAATAAGTGTGGGTGGAAGAATTAAAGGGTGTTAAAAGTGTTTGTTAGAGAAAACTTAACCTTTCCTCTGGTCCAGCAGCATCGTCGATCGACCATCGCCTGACAGGCTGAATTCTGTGGTTGAGTCCTATATTTCCAGTCTACTTTGCTCTTATGCAAATAAAGGGACAATATCGGTACGTCGGTTATCTCTGTCTCGTGGCCTCCAGCCTCCAACAACAATACGTTCCATTCCGGATTCTCCGTAAGTCTGTTCACGATCACGCTTCCGGCCGATCCACCCCCAACCACCACAAAATCGTACTCTTTCCTCAGGTCAAGTGTAACTTTCGGTTGCTTCTCAGGATCCATCAGATCATAATTGAAGTAGGCTAGAGTCGCTATCAAAATAGGGATTATGGCTACTTTGCCTAAAAGAATCGTGGCACCCTTTACAGCCAACGTGGCAGCCGTCACAACCCCCATTTTGTTCCTTTGTATGAATTTTGTCAAAATTCCAAACAATCCTTTCGTCTTTTGATTTAAATCGTGCGTTCTAGAGTTTAAAACATTTTCAAGTAAATATTTAACATTTCTTTTTGGAGAACAACTCACTTCAATATTTAAGATACTGTCTAATCGTCATTGTGTCAACGACGTGGATTTTAATTATGAAATCGACGTTCTCAGCACTAATGAGTGGTTTCATGCCGAGAAATGTGCACGATGACATCGCGTAGAATTCATTATCGAATGACACACACGCGAACGAATTTTAATGTCCCCGATGATTTCTTTTCGAGGCCATTAAGGCGAAGGAACCAGTTTGAATTTGTAAGTCTCGACGAGCCGAAGTTACCAATTCAAATCATCGGGCGCTTTCTTGAATGTCTTCTCGAGGGAACCTGCAACGAGACAACGAAACTTTTTATGTTTTTTTTTTATGTAACTATTGAACGAAACATTTTCTCTTCGCGCGGGAATTATATTTACGAGTGTTGTGAAAATCACAGTGATAAATAACTGTTTGGAATTTTTGTGAAATCGGTGTATTGCATGAGGCACAAACCTACATTTATTTACGTTAACTCTTGGGTGTTTGACGTTCGCAATTTACTCGTACAGTTAATGTAATTAAAATTCAACAAATGGATAATGTTTTTAGAAGTTTTCAAAATGTCAAATTACTTTCACAATTCGATCATTAGATTTTTTCGTTTTATAAATAATCATAATATTATAGTTTGTTATTAGTGTGAGTACGAAAGAGTTGAAGAAAACATAGTCTATTTTGTTATTATTTTATATACTCCTGGCTATAGATAATTTGAGTAATGGTGGCCACGAGACAGTAAACGTGGAACTCAGAAACGTTATTTTTTCACTTGCATGTTGACGGGTCTCATTCACCAACACGTCGATAGCCTCGTTTCTTTATTTACGCGAAGATACCGGCAAAACGTACAACGCGGAACGATTCGAAGCAATCACGTGTTTGCATAACTTTCATTTGTTTTCTCTTGACAATGCAGTCCGATTCAAGATACGTCACTCGTCACCTTTTCGAACTAAATCACGACACACGTACTTTCTTTTCCTTTTGAAAACAATGTAAACCTGAATCGATTGGAACAAGGTTGGTAATCAATTCGTAAGATGGAAGATTTGCTATTAAACTTCTCTATTTAAAAAAGTATTTGTATATCCAACGATTCTGACGTTTTTAAAATGACTAAGAATTATTATTTGCTTTTGAACGAATTCAAATTAATTATCAAATAATTCTGTCCACTGCTGTATCTACTATGGAAATTTGAAACATCGACTTTATTAACACTAGAACTACCAAACCAGACAAAATGACCCATTCGTAATTTCTAATAAAACTTGTAAAAAATTTACTCGGCTGAATTTTTGAAAATTTATCGTAATTTTCTATAAGAGAATATATAAACACTTATTTCCATTGCATTATATATTTCTTCGCGTGTCTATCGTTTCAATTTCTTTGGTACAAATAAACACACTATAATTGTCGGTAGTTCTAGTGTTAACACATTTCCTGAAAGAAGTTCTGCCCTATGAAGCTTGTGTTAAAATTTGAAAAACTAAGAATTTTATAGGAATTCAAACTAAATTTTTTCTATATTCTAACATTGCACGTTGAATCTGTATAGCTATTTCTCTTGGAATCAAAATCAAGAGGATATCAGTGACAGTTTTTCTTCTGTTTGAAGATGCTGCAAATTTGGTCACAAATTAGTTTGTGCTATGTTTACTATCCAAATTAATAGCTGATAAATACTGACTAGAAATTTGACGCGAATCAAAACCAAGAGGATATCAGTGACAGTTTTTCTTCTGTTTGAAGATGCTGCAAACTTGGTCACAAACTAGTTTAAGCTATGTTTACTATGATCCGAACTGACAACAGCGACCAATGGATTCGAACCACCGTTTCTTTGATATTATACAGTAGCGGATGAATTTTCCATCCGAGGTCCGTACCATTAGGATGATTGTAGATGCTCGAAAAATGGCAGCGTTCCCGTGGACCACGTTCGTAACCACGTGGACCGAGACCACGATCGAGCAGCTCGCGGACACAGAGAAAGCGAAAGACTGAGTGTTCGAACATTACGTTCTTCGTATAAACCTTGCGTTGGTACCACCACTTTGGCATGCTGAAACAGCTCCCTGTCGTTGTTGCATATTTGACCCTCAGAATGCGATCATATCTGCAGATTAACTATCATTTTTTATGTCCCGGCGCATCTAACCTTTCCATCTGTCCACCATTTTTTGTCCCTTTGCCTCGATACTACCATTACACCATAGATAACGTACAATGTGTCGCAAATATTAATTTCCCCTTACTGAAATATATCACCATTCGTAGCCAGAAGCAACGATTTTTAAATATTTAGACACCTCGAAGGGGTTCTCAGTTTTTCTAAGTTTCTTTGGGAATTTTTTGCAAAAACTGCTGTAACACCTTTTTGGGCTAAAACAAAGTTAAAATTGATAGTACTGGATCCTCTTAAATATAGTCGCTTTTAAGTAAAGTCCACAGTTAAGTTCCACAGAGTTCATGATTACGGTCATTTTGATTAGTAGGAAATTTACTATAGCAGGTACTAGAATATAAGGAAAAAGTCAATAATTAAAGTATGTTAAGAAAATTAGAAAAAATCGATTTTTTCGAAGGTTCATAGTAGAAGACTCAACTCTAAATGTAAAAGTTTAGACTAAATTTAGTTAGTGTAATTTTTCTTTCATACATAAGAACCACCATTTAAGGACAAACGTGTTGTAGATTTGCAATTGTTCCCATAAATTAAACTTCCAACTCCTAAGAACTATTGTGCAATTCCAAAAGAAGGAGACTCGCGTTTACGAATAGAATGTACGACATGTTAGAATTCCCAACACACTCCTTCCATTGATTCCAAACTCACTTTCCGTGTTTCGAACTATTGCCCATCCTCACCGATCACTTTCGGTTGTCCTTAATTTCTAACGTAACCTTGGAAGCATCCGGGTTGGAAGATGCTGCTTCTGTCTCTATCGAACTTATACCAACAAGAATGTGTTAAAAATTTCCCAAAAATGTGCACTCCAGGAATTTTTAAGGCACTATTTCACTCCATCTCGAATTGCCCACGAAAACGAAACTTTGTTTTCGGACAAGTGGAACTTATTTTTACAGCCTCGTTAAAATTCGAGACTCCAGTATAGATTTATTTTCTTCGATAATCGTATCAGCAGTCAATGTTTAATTACTTAAAACATTCACTTAAAGTGACCATGTCAAAAATCATTTGAATTTGTTTTTTTACAAATAAAAATCAGAAATTTTGTGAGCGTGGAATCATGCTACTACCAGGAAGATGGCAAAAGATGTTGGACCAAAATGTCCAGTATATAAACCAATAAAATATTTATATATTACAAGAAAATTGTTCCTTTTCACAAAAAAGAAAAACGAAATTACTTTCAGAACAACCCAATATTTCGCTATATCGTCAGTCGTGGGAACAAAAATGATCTAAATATACAGGGTGTGTTTGGCCACCCCTGGGAAAAATTTACATGAGCGATTCTAGAGATAAAAATAAGACGAAAATCAGGAATACCAATTTGTTGATGGAGGCTTCGTTAAAAAGTTATTAACAATTAAATTCAAAAATTTCAAATCGTTCTGGAAAAATTATTTTCAGTTGCGGGGATCAATTACAATTATTTTTGGTGAATATATATACCCTCGAAATCCTACCCACTTTGTAGAAAAAAATTCAAGAAGGTGCTGAAATTTTTCGGCGAAAAAAAAATTCTCAACTCGTTCTAAAAAAATTATTTTCGGTTGCAGGGTCAATTACAATCATTTTTTGTCATTACACATATCCCCGAAATCCTACGCATTTTCGAAAAAAAAATTCCTTACCAAAAATCTAATTAATTAGGTGCCTAAATTTTTCGACGAAAAAAAAATTTCAAATTGTTCTGGAAAAATTATTTTCGGTTGCGGGGGTCAATTATAATAATTTTTGGTGAATAGACATACCCCCGAAATCCTGCGCATTTTCTAGAAAAAAATTCAGTGTTAGCGGAACTTTAAACGTTAATAACTTTTTAACAAAGCCCCCATCAACAAATTGATATTCTTAATTTTCGTCTTATTTTGGCTTCTAGAATCTCCCATTAAAATTTTTCCCAGGAGTGGATGAATATACAAAAATTGTCAAGGAAGGAAAACCGAACAGATAGAAATTTAATTACAGTTTAATGAAATTTATTTTCCAATAATTCGTTCGTAAATTAAAAATCGTAGAAAATCGATCCATCTTTTTAAAACAATTTCGAAGCAACGAACCGCGTCGTTATTGTTTTGCGTGGTTTCGTTGTGATCAACGTCAGAGCTCGGATGTCGAAGGTGATCCTAATTTTCCCTCTCGCAGAGGAATCGAGTCTTGCGGTCGGCTTGGTGTACGTGGTCGCGGTCACGAAAACATTCATTGTTTATTAGTCGAGACGGAGAGATGCCACGAAATAAGTGGGACGGGAATGACGGTGCTAATTTGGCCCAAAGCATAGTTGTAATAGCGAACAGTCGCGCGCCGGAGACGGGACGGAGAGGTATCTCTCGTTTTCGATTTTTATTTATAGAGTTAATAGTAAGGTTATCCTCGTTGTTGCGACACGAAGCTCTTTCTCCGGCAGAGAGACTGCCGCCAGACGAATAATCGCGGTGAAATACGAATTATGGTAAGTGTCACGAGGCTGTGGTAATATGATCTGCATAATTGCGAACTTTGTCTCTGGGGTATTATATTAATTAAGAGATCGGTTTTTGTTTGTTTGGAAATCAGCTAATGCATGCAACCAGGGCGATTTAATTAAGTATCACAGTTAGGAAATTGTGATAAATCTCTGATGTATTCCTTTGTAATTAATGCAAGTAGGTAATAGGATTATGATATTAATAGTAATAATTGATATTAGACTTTTTTAATAGTAATGCAACCCTCTGCGCAAAGGAATTTTTCTGCAGGCTTTTATTATAGTACTAACGATAGTACAAAGTTTATAACTTTATAATTTATACAGAATTTATAAAAGATCAATGGGAGATTTTGGAGCCAGTGTCGAAACTTCAGTCGATCGTTCAGCGCGTTCCATATCGGCGATACTCGTCTAGCGACTTTTTAACCGATCAACTCGCTCGTAAAAATTTACACGATTTGTGCAACTTGCACCGCGTTGCTCAAGCATCCAGAAAAATTTCAAGCGGATGTACGCCCATAGAAACTGAAAATCTGATCACCGAATTAGATATTTTTTTTTAACTACAACCTTTCGTCTTTACCAATCGAAGTTCGTATTAATGCGTTTAATATTCTGTGATAAAAATTTCGTTCGTTTAAAATATCACGGTCGAACGTACATTTTAAACTCAACGATCATGTAACCCTGACCTTTGTTTAGTCGCTCAAGATTTACGTAAAAATTTCAATTGAGAATTCGAACCTTGCAAAACTCATCCCTACTATTTTCTCCGTTTCTTTCCATTCAGGCGTCCCTCGTTCCTTTTCTGTACGTCGAATTCGCACAACACACCCGATAGAAAAATTTCACTTTCGCCCAGTCGATTTTGAAACCGGTCGGCTTACTTTTTCACTCTAATTCCATAATATCGCGTCCGCGTGCCGTGGGCACTGCGTATATGAAAAATTGGGAAAGACCCTTCTCAGTGAAAGTTTTCGTTCCTAAGTGGTTGTAGTGAAAGACGCGTGTCCAAAGCCTGCCATTGCGCGATGGTGTGCTCGATAAACGTCAAAAATCTATGAGGAAGTATTTCATTCTTTAATATGCAATTTTATGGCTATCTTTTATTCGTTATTCAGCAAAATATTTAAAAGAAACAATTTCTTATACCTTTATTCTCACATTTATCATGTTACACGATGAGAAAAAAAATTACGTCCCACCTAATCGTCAACAAAATTCAAACATTGCTGTTTCAAAATATTACGTATAATAGTTAAAGATTAACATCGAACAGCAATAAAGCAGAAATAATTTCTCATACATTTATTCTCACGTTTATCAAACAAAATTACATCCTATCTAATCGTCAACAGATTGCAAATATTGCAGTCTCAAAATATTACATTCGATAATTCAAGATTAGTAAAAAAATTCGAAATCAAAAGTTAAGAGAAAGAATTGTACACAAAAGTCTCGTCTTTCGAAACTCCAAAGTCGAAGAATTCTCGTCCCAGAAGACTTCTCCAAAAATTGTAAAATTACAACCACTCCTCCTTGATCATGTCTCCAGCCTTCTCCGCGATCATGATAGTAGGCGCGTTAGTGTTTCCCCTGACAATCTTGGGCATCACGGACGCGTCCACCACCCTCAAACCTTGAACACCGTAAACTCTCAGTCTGGGATCCACGACAGCGTATGGATCCCATGCTGGTCCCATTTTGCAAGTGCCCACCGGGTGATAGATCGTGGACGTGTACTCCATCATGGCACACTTCCAATAATCCCTTGTACCGAACAGAAACTGTCTGCAAGCTGGCAGAGGCACGTCGATTAAACGAAATCCGTGTTCGTGGAAAGACTTGGTTTGAAATAATTCCAGAGCTGCCTCTATTCCCTCCAGCAGGATCTCAGAATCGGGATGAGCGGTGAAGTATCGAGGATAAATCAAGGGTGGGCCCCACAAGGGATGAGTATCGTTCAAAACCAGGAATCCACGGCTCCTAGGCGACAGTAAAATCGGTTTGATATTGAAAGCGTCGTAATAAGCCAGAGGTTCGACAGCGCTTTCGACGAACTCTGCGGGATCTTGAAGGAAGTCCATCTGATTGCTAGCGTCGAAAGTGAACTGGACATCCGGTGTTCCAGCCTTGTGTTCGAATGTAGTTTGCAAAAATACTCCGCAAGAGAGGGTCCCGGTCGCTGACAGAGGACCGAAATGAGTCTTTTCGTAGAAGAAGACGTCTTTCTTCTTTGCCTCGTCGTCTTTGCTCGTGACGGTAGTATTTAAAGCGACCACCAGACCGTCCATCGTCACGTGGTCCTGGAGGTTCCTGCCAACCGCCAAATGGCTCACTGTTTCGATCCCGTGCTTCTTCAGTTCTTGGGTGGGACCTATTCCAGAGAGCATCAGAATTTTGGGTGAATTGATTGTACCGGCTGAGAGGATCACTTCCTTCCTAGCTAGGACAACTTTGGTCGATCCCGTGACCGTGGAAACGTATTCTACCCCCATCGCGAGCTTTGTCGTGCTGTCTATTAGAATTCGCGTGACGTGGGCCTGGGTCTCGACGGTCAGGTTCCTTCGTTTGCGTCTAATGGGTCTGATGAACGCGCCGTTGGTGCTCTGACGCATTCCGTGAACGGACGTCATTTGCAATCTCGTCACGCCAAGTTGCTTGTCCGCGTTGGCATCCACCTGCTCGTGCCCGAGTTCCTGCCAAGCGTTCACGAGGATGTCCGTGTTTGGGTCAGTGTAGGGAAATCGCTCGACGTTTTGGTAGCCCCCTTGACCGTGATAGCGAGGATTTTCCTTCACGACCTGGAGAAAAAATAGAGCTTTACATAACTTGGCGAGTAGTGATCATATTTATTTACTTATTATATAGGGGAACGTTTAGTCCTGGGCCTGCTAGTGAGGGACCTAGCAGGTTCTGCCTTAGACGCCGGGATATTCAGTGTTTTCTTTTTCTTTTATGATTTTACCCTGTGTTGCTGCAGGTACTCTGACCTGAGCCCTATAACCTGCGTTTAAATTGAGTAGTTAGTGTCTGTAAGAGTCTATTACTAGAGCTGATAGTGTTTTAATATTTTAGTATTAGAGGAAACAGTCTCAGGCATTCAATGAGGCAGTAGAGGAGCATAAATGTAGGAATAGGTGTGCAAACTGCCTAACTACCTGATAAACTAACTATCTAACTGACAAACTATCTAACTAAGTAACAAACTAACTAACTAAATATTTTAGTGTTAGAGGAAACAGTCTCAGGCATTCAATGAGGCAGTAGAGGAGCATAAATGTAGGAATAGGTAGTCGGTCGAGCACTTGTGAGAAAAGTACAGGTCGAGCGTGGCCCTCTGCTGGCGAGTGCGGAAAGTGTTGGCATGAACCCATTGTTTTGTAGATGAAAATTGATACTAATATTGTGTTTAAAGACATTGCTAAAGATATTGAATAACAACCATAGAATACGATCATTTTTATCGCTTAGATACGATTAATATTTCAACTGTAAATTGTGTCAAACTGTTCCTGTAGAAATAATTAATTCGTTGTTCAATTCGCGATAGAAAATTCTGATAAAGTTTCACCTCTGGATCCTCGTTATTCTCGGATTTCAAGAAATATGGTAGAACTTCCCCGTAGCTCCATCCATGGTTCCCTTCGTCGGCCCATTCGTCGTAATCCCCTGGATTACCACGAATATACATCATGTAATTAATTGTACTGGAACCACCCATCACCTGTGAAAGAAATAATATTTTTTCATGAGTTTTCTTAAATAACAAAATTATTATATATAAATTATTCGTTTCTTTCTCAAATTCTCTCTATACAAAATTGTATAATTGAAATATATTAAACGAGAAGCATAATTTTCTTCGATTATAAAAGCAATATAACAAATATATATTTAGTAATAAAACATTGAGATCCTTTTCGTAGAAACTTAAAAAAATTAATGATTAAAAATTTTATACAGGATGTTCGGTCATCCCTGGAAAAAATTTTAATGGGGGATTCTACAGGCCAAACTAAGACGAAAATCAAGAATACCAATTTGTTGATGGAGACTTTGTTAAAAAGTTATTAACGTTTAAAGTTTCGCCCGTACTGAATTTTTTTCTCGAAAATGCGCAGGATTTTGGGGGTATGTCTATTCACCAAAAATGATTGTAATTGACCCCAGAAACCGAAAATAATTTTTCCAGAACGATTTGAAATTTTTTCCTTCCGTCGAAAAATTTCACACCTTCTCGAATTTTTTTCTAGAAAGTGGCTATTATTTCGGGGGTATGTCTATTCACCAAAAATGATTATAATTAATCCTCGCAACCGAAAATAATTTTTCCAGAACGATTTGAAATTTTTTCCTTCCGTCGAAAAATTTCACACCTTCTCGAATTTTTTTCTAGAAAGTGGCTAGGATTTCGGGGGTATGTCTATTCACCAAAAATGATTATAATTAACCCTCGCAACCGAAAATAATTTTTCCAGAACGATTTGAAATTTTGGAATTTAATTGTTAATAACTTTTTAACGGAGCCTCTATCAACAAAGTGGTATTCTTGATTTTCGTCTTATTTTGGCCTCTAGAATCCCTCATTAAAATTTTTCCCAGGGCTGGTCGAACACCCTGTATAAGATATGGTTGAGTCGAAAGAAAAATAAATGTTATATCGAACATTGTCCACTTCACGGTTTTCAGATACGTACTTTGCCTCTTGCCCACCCACAACTTCTACCCCTTCTCGATCGACAAGAGTGTTCTTCCGGCTGCGTTCGATACATCCAATCGATATTACTAGCTCGTAACATGGTAGCAAATGCGGGAATATCTGCCACTATTGGTTCTTCTATGCCAGCCTCTAATAGCAGTATCTGAAAAACGGGGAAACCTTTGTAAAAAATGTTTCGCCGATTAAAATCAGCCACTGAAATATAAATTCACACTGCAAGTTTTTAATTTCAATTTGCACTATTTTTTAATATTATTAAGTTCTTTTGTGTCATGTGCAATGTTGATTAACTTTTTTTATTTAATCATAACAAAAGTGTCACATTCTTTCTATTATCTTCGTTAGAGTTAATTCATACATTTATACATATTTGAATTGTTCATTTAAACGAATAGTATAAAACCTATATTCCTCGACGAGAAAAGAATTTTTTTCTGGTACAAATGATAGAATAGTACAAACTCCTGAAACTAGCCAAATCGATTAAGGGATCTGTGCACTACACACGCATGCTGATTTTATTGTCGTTGGTGCTGCGTAATCCAATAAATACTTTGCTTTTCGAGGCATGTTTAATGGCTACGAAGCCGCAGAATAGTAGCAGATACTCGCCGACTATCTCGTGTTCTGTGACCCGTTTCAACGAAGCCCCGACTATTGCTCGACTTTTCACCGAAAGGATTATCTAGTGTCCTACCTTCATTGCTTAGTAAACAGATTAAAAGTAACACCATTAATTCATAAAACCTAACGAACGTAGATTAGTAATTACTTGGATCTTTTACACGAAGCCTAACATATGTACTTGCTATTTTAAAAAGTAGATCAAATTTCAATTTTTGTGAATTTAATGGTTTCCGAGATATTAGGAAAGATTGCGTATCTAATTTGTTTCGTTCTTCCACGAAAGAAACTCGCCCTAAACTGATCCACAATGCACAGTCGCGCCATTTAGTAAAAGTCAGGCTAATTTTATTGCAGTGCGCCATGAAAACGCATTCCTTCTATCCCAGGTTCGTATTACTATAGTTGCAATGGAATTTTGCATTCGTTGTTGATTCGAATCTAAAATTTAACGCAGTGGCGAGATTGTGCACGTTTAAATTTGACCAGAGTTCAGATTTTAAATAATTATTTAATACAGCAGTCAATACGATAAGTGTTTCATCGTAGTATCGATAGAAAAGTATGGCAAATAATTAACAAATACCTTCCAATGTGTAATTTCGCTCAACCTGTTAGCGAGAACGCATCCAGCCGATCCAGCGCCCACGATTATAAAATCGTATTCTTTCGTTAGAAAATTCGTGGTATCCGGAAAATTGCTCGTGCTTTCTATTTCCACGGGTTTTCTTGGATAGTTGAACGTTAAATTTGGGTCGTCCATTATCTTGAAGTTGGCGTAATCGTTGATTCGATTAATTCGCTTCCATTGATTGTCTTCATTGTCAGTTATCTTCTGCATTGTTTGCAGATTGTAATCTTGAAGTTTCAGTTTTTCATACGAACCGGTGTAGATTCTATCTGGAAAGATAAATAATTAGGCAAAATTAAAGGACAATATTCAAAATTTATTTTTTTCACTGTACTTCTAGGAATTATTGAAATTCTCGTTTCTATAGATTATAGAAAAATATTGAAATAGTTTTTATTACAGATATATGAGAAACGAATTTTAGGAAATTCTAGATTATTAAAAAAACAAATTTAATGAAGGTTTTCATCTTCCTAAAACAGAAAGTTGACGAGGTTTTTCTTGTTCTTTTCACATCGTGTTCTGTAAATAAATTAGTAGAAAGTAATCAGAGCAAGAAGGTATTTTATTAATAAATAAAGGAACACCTTTGGATGCTATTTTTAACTACAAGTTCGATCGACTGTTATTGACGAAGATTTATAGCAATGCGATGACTGTTTTAACTTTTAGATCGCCAATCCGGTTATTTATCAGGCAGTGCAATTAGTCTTTTTCTGCAAACGATTTTTGCATATGAAAAAGTGTTTTTACCTTGACACTGGTGATTACATACAAACTGCGAACAAAGAATCGATTTATTATACAAAGAGTATTCATGACATCCATGATGCTGCATCTCAGTAATTACTGTAAGGTATGCCGTTTATTGACGAACTCCCGGCTCGACACGCTGGCCTGTATTTATATCTGGGTCTCGTCGAATGTTCTCGAATTGTCTCGACGCGACGGTTACTCAAATACAAAGCCTTCCACCGGTGTCGATATAATACAAATTTCTTACATTACGATGTTTATCTCTAACAAAGTTACTAAAAGTTTACATTTCAAACGTGAACGAAACTCGATTTTCATACATGTAAAGGACTTGCTAAATAACGTTAACTCCCTTGAATATCTCTATTTTCAGAGATACAGCAAAATTTACTCGCAAAATATGCTAATAATAATTTTATTTGTTCAAATGACACGTCATACTTTTTCGATCCTAGTAAAATAATGTTTAAGTCAGTATCTTTAAAGAATTAAAACAACGATTTCTAGGTTATAAATTTCCCACGTGAAGCAAAGAATCATTGTAATATGTAATAGAATCGATCCAAGAATGATAACAAGTAACGATTCTTAAAATGAACCTCAAACGTGGCTCGTAAGTTGAACATTTCCCTCCCAACTTGGGTGATTCCCCTTGGAGCCAGTGAAGCGTGAAATATGATATTTAAAAAAACGATACAATAATGATTCTTAAAATGAATCCCAGATGTGATTCGTAAGTTGAACAATTCTATCCCTCCCAATTGTGAGGATCTCCCTCGAAGCATGAAAGACGACATTTAAAATACGGTGTCGAATTTCGCCTCCGCTGTACGAAAGATGAACACGCCCATCCTGGAACGATGTTCATTTTAAGAATCATTACTGTATACGCGGTAGTTCAGGATTTTCCGCGAAACTCGTTAGATCAGCGGGCATAGAGACCTACGGAGACTATTTTGACCGAGTATACGTGCAATAGAAATTGAGATTCGTTTACTTTTCGGGCCGAAGAAGTCATCGTAAGCCTTCGACGTGGATGTAATCGGTTGGCCAGCGATGTTCGTTGGTGGATGAGGGTCGTAAACTCGGGCGAAATTCACGGTCGCCACTTCCACGTAAACTGGTGCACTTTCCTTGCTTTCATCCTTGAAACCCGAGGGGGAAAACGGAACGCACTCGGACCATGAACAATAAACGTTCGACGATGATTTCGCTGGTGGACCATTCAGCGACGACGGAAAGTCTCCCGCGTTGTAACGATCGATCCTGTTTTTCTGACGTTGACGGGAATTAAACGCAGTCTCCCACGGCGAACGAAACGAGTCGAAATCGTCGAACGCGAATCGAGAGTCCTTCGAATGGCCGAACAAACGGGCGATGAACGCCAGGAACACGAACGTGGAGGATTGGCAGGTTGAAACTACGGATTCGGGTGAACAGAGACTAATCAAATCCGGGGCAACCCACGACATGATCTCCGTTTAGATCTTTCAGCTTTGTCTGGGTTGGTGGATACTGTTGATAAAAGATAGATCAATAGGTTGTACGAATTTTATGAGGGGAATGTAACTTGAATTTATTCATAGACGAATTCTATGATGGGAATTAAAACTAAATTATCAGTCTCTAGAAAGTTTTTAATCTTGCTAATATAATGAATATTAGTGACTTACAGTGCGTGGATGTCAAATTTTTGTTTTAATTTTCTCTTTTATGTGCTACAAATAGTCATTGGATTTTTATGTTAACGCGCGGAATTCTATGTGTTCATAATGAAGCGTATTTTTTGGTTTCCGATGTAAAAATTATTCAATTATACGATTGTGAACGAAAAAAATTAGACAAAAAATCTTCTTTGCATTAGGAAAAATGAAAACGTACTCACCAGTCTCCAACAACTTAATTTCACAGTTTCGAAACGCACTAGATTGATTTAAAATAATAATAATAACAGTATCTCGAAAAATTAAGTCGAGGTAAACGTTTCAGACCCAAATGTTCGGAAGAGAAAACAACGCGAAGAAATGAAAAGAGAAACTCTTGTCTTCTATTGGAAATAATTAGTTTTCACGTTGACTGCCGGTCGGTTTTGTTTGTCATTCATTTTGCGCAATTGTCGATGAATTTCGTCGCGTTGCACTAAGAACGAACATTATTAAATGAAAGCGTAACTATCACCGAAATAAAACTTTTAATTTTCGAACGATTTTTATATTCGTCTATACAAGAATGCAGAAATGCATCCACTACTGACAATGGATCATGTCGACTGCAGAAACTGTTGCAGATCCACGTAGTTCGTGGACCATTTGACGAACGAAAGCAACGTGGCTCCTCCCCGTCAAATCTCGAGCAAAAATTCCCGCGCTTTTTGCGTGGACTAAAAAGAAACGCTTTCGTCGAACAGAAATTCCTCGTTTATTAATTAAAATCTCGCGAAATTACGATTCTACGAGTCAAAAAATCAATTTCAATTATTTTAACACTAGATTTACGGGCATTGATCGCACGTATATTTATTGATATCTTTCATGTTGACGATTACCGTAAAATACGATTTTTCTTTTAATTAGACTATGTATTCATATCATTGCATCAAACAAATTCAACATAAGTTGTTAAAAAATAATATTTACCCGCTCTGCAAGTTTAAACATGGAATCCGACATTCGTCAAATTGACGGCTTTTGTAAATCTAGTGTTAATTCAGTAACCACTAAAAATTATTAAAAATAAAATCGTAGTAAAATCCGAGAGTTTATTTACGCGACAGACGATTTAAAAAATGTTAGTCTAGGATTTCATGTCATTTCGGTAACGATATTTTGGCTTATCTATACACATGTTTTTCCACTCCGTAGTATATTAATATCTAGTGTATGCTTATTTTCTTTCTTTAGATAATTTGTTTCTTGTAGTTTTGAAAATAATCACGAGTTATTATCAGAAATGATAAATGAGAACGACAAATAACTTGCAATTACAGCCAACGTTACAAATTTTAGTAAAAAGTTCCACGCTTTCACCGTGGTCTCTGTAGTTACTGGCGAAGAACATGATTATGTTTATTGATTTAGCGCAAACGATTATATAAACAGTTATGTCGGTGATACATTCAACTATTCCAGATTGCATTTATTTATTACATTCTTCCCAGAGCCCATTCTGTATTATCACGAATAATTAAAACAATCTTTTATTACGTGTAATTGTGTTTTATGTTATACTATAGAGATAAAACATTGCCGTTTAAAATCAAGAAGCTACACTTTTATTAGTTTTTAAAGTCATCGTTAAATTCTTTCATGATATGTGGTGCAGTAAATTTTTGAAATGTATATTTCAGCACAATGTTAAGATTTACAAGAAATATTTACGAAGTTTGATGAAACGTTGCAAATTTCTAGAGTGGTCGTAAAAATGAAATACCTAAATATTTTTTATTTTAATTTAAAAAGATACGTATGTCTTATTTTTGGACTTTTTTTTACAAATCTGCAAACTACTCTCCAAAGTTTCGGCTCCATAATACTTTTACTTTTCGTTGCTTGTTCAATTTTTGCTGTCATTATCATTGCTCCTTAAATTTTACGAATGAATTTCATGCGCACAAATGGCGTGGAATTCTTCGAAAATTGCAGACTTGTGAAACGAGCGCCAACATTCCGTTGTTCTAGTGTTTTACATTCTCCATCGAATATGCAACAATTACAGGGAAACCTACTTCCTCGAAGATTAGAGTGGCTATTGGTAAAAATTTAGATCTGTATAGTTTTAACATATCATACTAACACCGTCCCTTTCTTACGTGGTAATAGCAACAAGAGTTTATCTCTCTTTACTAGTATAATTTAGATTCTTTGTCTATTAATTTTTTTCTTTTAACCCAGACCACGGTGATTAGATTTTCAAGCCCCATACTTTTAAATAAAAGGTTTCAGTCATTTAAAATTGCCTGATGGAGAGGGAATCTTGCTCGACACCGTGTCTAGTTACTTTCTCCTAGATTGGCTAGTGACAATTTTACCAGGTCGGTACTTTACCTATGGTGTAATTTACTATGTCGATAACCGTGACTATGGGTAATCGTCGCAGTAAATCTCATTTTGGAAGAAACGAGGGACATTGTAGGACGCGACAGCAACCAAAAACATTTAAAAATATAAACAATTATAATTACATAATATTATACATTATCCTTCGTCATTTCATCAATCTCCTTTGTACATTATTCTTTAAAGAATGATCACACTGTTATTATAAGATAAGGAATAACGAACACGTTTGAAGTTTTGTAAATTATTAATTCAAAAAAAAAAAAAATTGAAAATAAAATCCAGTACAGATTCTTCCTTGTTAACCTTTACAATTCCTCGTGAATATTTATCGACCAGTCCTCCTTAACCATGTCTGCTCCTTTCTCCGCGATCATCATAATCGGCGCGTTAGTGTTCCCACTGACGATGGTCGGCATGATCGAACCATCGATCACTCTCAGTCCCTGAACACCGTGTACTCTTAATCTAGAGTCGACAACTGCCGTAGGATCGCCATGTGGGCCCATTTTAGCCGTTCCAACGGGATGGAACAACGTGGTAGACATGTGCCTAATGTTGCATTCCCAATATTCCATGGAATCCGGTTTCGTGTGTCGACAACCAGAAGTATCGACGGGTCGCAATTCCATCTTGTGCTTTTTGAACGCCTCTGTCTTCAACAGAGACTTAACCACATCGACGGACTTGATCAACGTTTGCAAGTCTTTCTCTTCGGTCAAATAATTCGCGTAGATCTTGACGGGATCCGTTGGATTCCTGCTGCGCAATTCGAGCAAACCTCGACTCTCAGGATTCAGTAAAACCGAAGAGAACGTCAGCAAGCTGGTATCCATGATCGTTTTCGTTATTTCTTCTACAATTTCGTCTTGGAAATTGAACATTTTGAGAAGGTTACTCACCATGACGGGGTTGAACTGTGGGAAGGCGGATACATGGAACTGGATGTCAGGGTACTTCGATGTCGGTTCGTGGACGTTGACAAAACCCAAAAGATCGAACGGGAACGTTGCCAGAAGCCCTTTGTTGTGCAGCAGATAGTCGTAAACGCCGTCCAATAGGAACGTGGGGGATGGAGGGGTGGCCGTTTCGTTGACGTAACTTACGTGCAACCCAAACCAGCCTAAATGATCCTGAAGGTTCTTGCCAACCGGTAGATCAGCCAGTGTAGGTATTCCCATCTGCTGTAGGTGTTCCTTTGGCCCTATACCCGAGAGCATCATCAATTGAGGACTGCCGATACTCCCCGCGGATAGGATCACTTCTTTCGATGCTTTTATGTTGATCGATTGACCGTCCCTCAGGGTGACTCGAACGCCAGTCGCTTGGGAATTGAACACCAGAACCTTCTCCACTCTGGCGGACTTCAACACGTACAAGTTCTTCCTGTCTCTGATAGGAGACAGAAAAGCTTTAGCTGCGTTTACGCGTCGCGAGTTATCGAGCGTGCCCATAGATCTTCCAAAGCCAATAAAACGATCACCGATCACGGGTTCCAAAACACCTAGTCCTATTTCCCGTGCAGCGTCCAAGACGCTATCATCCACGCTCCAGAAAGTGTTATTGTAATTTCTCAACGTCATCGGCCCTTGGGTTCCACAGTACCTATCACCCAATTTCTCTATTTGTTCGTTCGTACATTTCAGAGACTTTTTGAAGTAAGGCAACACTTTCTCGTAAGCCCATCCTTCGTTGCCCAGGCTCGACCATTCGTTGTAATCCTTCTCGTTCCCATGGACGTGGATCATGGCGTTCAGGACGGAACTGCCGCCTAACGCCTTGCCCCTCGTCCATTTGCTTCGTTTGCCCTTCTGGCCAAGGTAAATGCCTTCTTGTGGTTCAGTCTTGCACGGAAAAAATGTTTCAATGAATATATTTGGAAAAAGAAAATTTATACTCCAATTATTTTGGAATGTTTCGATTAATGGAATAATGAGAAGAGATATATTTTCAAACTACGTACAGAATATTTTGTATGGGGGAAAGAATACAGTAGTGATTCGTAAAATGATCATCGCTCGGGGGTCGACGCGTTCATCTTGCGTACAGCAGAGGTGAAATCCGACACCAACAGACCCCCAGTCGAAGGTACAGAAACGTTCAACTTACGAATCACGATCATTTTAAAAATCATTACTGTACTTTTGAAAATATTTTTTACGTCGGTTCTTCGCTCGATTCCAACGAACTGTCGTTGAAAATATTTGTTTTTGAATTATTTAAATGTCAATCGATTCGAATACCATGTACGCGTAGTCCTGAGGTCCATCGATATTATTCAGCATGAGACCAGGAACGTTGGTTTCGGGCCTAGGATCCTCCCCAGCCTCTATCAGTAAAACGTTCCAATTTGGCACTTCCGTTAATCTGTGGGCCAGAACGGAACCCGCGGTTCCAGCACCCGCGATCACGAAGTCGAATTCTACGTTCGATTTTAAAATCTCGTCTGTACGATCCGCTGGATAGACAGTGTCCCCTAAAGCGCATTGTGACGCTAAAATCGCTTGCACAAAGCTGGAGAAAATTACACCTGGGTTTGGCGACAGTGCAGCATGACAGCTTGCTGTCATACACGCTTCCATTGCGAGATTTTCGAACTAGATTCGGTGTAAATCTATATAAAAAAAAAAATTACAAATGTTAAATTTTATATAAAGCTTACGGTGAACGGGGAAAAAGTTCAAATATCATCAGTAGACTGCGGATCTTTATGCAAATTCACATTTGTATTAATAGAATTAATGAAACGGAAGCTTCTTAGAGGGCTGTCTCAACCCCTAAATATAATAATTCGTATCTTACTTTAAGTATTTCTTATATTTTTGCATATTAAATGCATTCTGTAGTTTTTTGAGGATTAAAATTTCCCATAAATGCATAAACATCCGCAGTCTAATGATCAGACTTGAGGCGAGCAATCCGTGAAATAAAATTTAATGAGAAACGAACGTTTCGACTTTGGCTGTTGGCTTTTGGTAATTGCAAAATATTGAAAATTCCACCAAATTTAATCACTGTAACTTAATCGAGTATTCCGAGTAAACAGTATTAATCTTTATCACTTAAGGTCAATCTCAAACTTGAAAGTTACCGAGATATTTTTTGTCCGTTTCTCAAGAATCTTGCTTTCCAAGATTGAACGTTGAACGATGATTTCAATAAAACAACTTTGATATCTTTACTCGTGAGAAAAGTGATTTTAGCTTATTGAATTTCTTTATCTAACGCACTAATTATCTTTAACACACGCTATACAGATGGCAAATTAGCTTAGCAATTGGTAAATTAGAGTTCGTAGATTAAATCGAAAATATGAAATTTGATTTTAACGTTTGACGAAATTATTTGAGGAATTATATCTTGCTAGTACTTAGTGCTCTATTACTTACTTGATCAATTATATCCTCCAAGATGAATTCGACAACTGCACTGAGAGGCTTAACTACGATTATGAATAATGATTGTCTCAATAATTGATACAATAATGATTATTAACGTGTCTGAGAGTAGAACAGAACAGAGAATAGATTATATAGCGGTGTGAGACCAGTTTTTAGAGTTGTTCGGACGTTTATAATGTTATCTTCAAGTCGCGGAGTAGGGTGATACTTCCTTAGAGTGGGATAACCAGAACACTTGGTGGGGGCTGTACACACAATAATCTTACTCCAAATTCTGTATGAAGACGGCAGACGAAAATTGGCAATGATAATTCACGTATGTATCTTTCGTGTCAAATATTATCGTTTGAGAGATAAATATTACAGTTAAGCCCGTTCGTTGCCTGTAATAGAATGTTGGACATTGCTTTAATTTCGTTCAATATGTGGCCAAATTTCCAGTCCATTGTCGATAAATAATTCCTCATCGAATCGCACGAATATTCGACAACTAATAAATAACACCTCTGATCTACAGATTTGTGGATTCGAATGTTTGGTGTTGCTTAAAAGTGGGTTTTAGGAGTTCTATAAAATGAGAAAAGAAAAGAAAAAGAATTATAGAATGCAAGTGCAATTTTTTCCAGAAGTGACACCCAATCGACAATAATATAAATTTATTGCAATCTCTGTTCGAATTTATGTCAGATTCGGCGCTCGAGTGAAATTACAAGCAGATCAAAATCTTATCACTTTTGCAATCTTTGCTATGAAATTAGCATTTTTTCAAGGCCTTCTCGCAAGATGTTTCATCAAAGAATTTTTGGAGCATTTTTTCTCTTGGATTTTATCGTTTCACGTGTAATTCCTATTTAGTATATTTTAAAATGTTGCATTCAATACTAGGAATACATACAGGGTGTCTTGTTCAAGTAAGAACAACATATCTCTTAAGGATTTGTAGTTATTAAACAAATGTTCGTACAAAAGTTATTTGATAGCAAGGGCTACATCGTGAAGTACTAATTGAAGGTCAATCTAATTTTCTTAAATGGAATGGTATATTTTTTTCTTCAGAAAGTAACAACAGTCACTGAGACAAATTCAAAGAGGTGCTATATGATATTATTCTGAGTTCGATAAAAGTAAATCGTTATCTTATATTTATTACGTGTACAAATGAATAATCGAAATTATCTTAAGCAGTTATAAAATCAAGTTTAAAGTCAATAGATTTTCCCGCTCTTTTGCGGTCATATAGTGTTGACATATAGCTAGTTAAAACAAAAGATAGTTTAGCGAAAGGCCCAACATAACCTTCAAAAGTATTCGATTCAGTAGAGTCGAAAATGGCAACAGATAGAGTGCATATCCGGCACTGCATTCTTTACGAATTCCAACAAGGGAAAAATGCTGCAAGAGCATGCAAATCGATTTATTCCTTTCTCGGTGAAGGTGTTGTATCGTATGATGTGTACGCATTTTGGTTTAAGCGGTTTAAAAGCGGTGATTTGAGTCTGATCGACAAACAACGCCCTGGAGGCCCTCGGAAGGGCGACAACGATGATTTGGAACAACTGCTCGCTGAGAATGCGGCATAAACGCAAAAAGAACTTGCAGAACAGTTAGGAGCAACCCAGCAAACGATTTCCAAACGCCTGGATGGGAAAGATCCAGAAAGAAGGAAAATGGGTTCTGCATGAACTCACTGCAACCAACAAAAATCAACGAGTGGCAGCGTGTCTTTCTCTTCTCAATAAGCAGCGTCGAAAGTCTTTCTTGTGGAAAATCGTTAAGATGAGAAGTGGACACTCTATGAAAATCCGAAACGCAGAAAGTCATGGGTAAATCCCCTCGAAGCATCAACATCGGTTGCAAAACCAGTCGCTTAAGAAAGAAGGTTCTTTTCTGCATTTGGTGGGATATCAAGGGCGTGGTTTATTATGAGTTGTTGGAACCGAGTGAAACAGTTACTGTGGACTGCTACCAACGTTAATTAATCTGCTCGAGTCAAGCATTGGAACGAAAACGTCCGTATACTGGCAAATGAGAACGTCCAGTGGAATTGTTGCATGACAACGCCAGGCCACATATTGCTTCCCATACAAAAGACACCATAATGAGTCTTGGCTGGGACTTCTTGCAGCACCCAGCATATTCATCAGACATTGCTCCATCTGATTATCACCTGTTCCGGTCGATGCAACACGCCTTATCCGATATGCACTTCCAATCAGTGGATGAGATCCGAAAATGGCTTGACGACTTTATCGGGTCCAGAAACGTAAAATTTTTCCGAGATGGAATCCATCAGCTGCCTGAAAGATGGCTCAAAGTTATAGAAAGTAACGGCGAATACTTTGATTGAACAATTCAATTTACTTTCTTTTAAACTAAACATTGAATGTGGCTGAAAAAATTGGATTATTCATTTGTACACCTAGTACATCCTGCATCGGTCGACGACCAACAGCCCAGCAGCATTGGTTGCGTTCGTATCAAGTTACTGCATTTGTGATATTATAGACAGAGATTGAGGATTATTGCTGAAAGTAAATAACGATTTACCTTTATCGAACTCAGAATAATATCGCATAGGACCTCTTTGGATCTGTCTCAGCGCCTGCTGTTACTTTCTAAACGAGACACCCTGTATGTAGACCACCTAAGCAGAGAATCCGGTGTTGCCTTTTCAAAGTTTTCTTTTGCAGTGAATTTTTTGTTGGACGCCTGGACATAAATTAAACTTAAGAAACGATCACAATATGATCACTTCTTAGCAGGAATTTTTTCTATTTTTTTTCTTCCCTGTTTACTAGAAAGCAATAGGTACATAAAACGCAACTCGGTAATGGATTGTCGTACTTTGAACTTCACCTTGCAGTGCGCAAAAATCGTTTAGGAACTGTCGTGTCATTCATGCACGATTAACAGGATTAAAATAATTAATTCTCAAGTTGAAATCTTAAAGGAACTAAACTTGAATGGGATATACCGAGAATATGTTTTATATGAAATAAATCGTCCGTGAATAGTCCACAGTACGAAGAGAAAATATATGGTTCCATTAAAGTAACAGCAATGATCTTACAAACCTCGAAAAAGAAATTATTATTTAATCGCTGGGCGCGAGATACCACGAAAATATCTCTAATTATGTATACTTTATCTCTGTAAAATTGTTATTTACGGCTGTGATAAGACATGTATATGTTTTATCTCCGAAGAGGCAACGTAAATACACCGCGATTGATATCCAAATTGAGCGTAACCTTTATTGTAAACGTTGCATAAAGATCACGAGCTCTCGACCCAACTTATTTTGGTCCGAATATGAGCCTAATACTAACAATAGATGCAAATGTTATCTGTTGAAAATCTGTCTCGAATATCATTCACTTTTCGTTTGACTTGTTCGAGGACACAAGCAGCTAGCCAGAAGCATATATAATGTACATGAAATATATTCTTTTTAATTTTAACGCCGCGTTTACTATCGTCGTGTCGATAAGAGAATTCAACGTTCACGTTATCAGTAGATTAATGTACGTTATCCAAAAACGTTACACGTTTATATTATACAATACTTTATGTTCTATGTACTCATTAAAAATCAAAGATATTGCCTATTATTTTATGTGTTAGATAAATACAACGCTGTCAGCCAATTGTATATTGACGCTAACAAATTTTTTAAGTATGTACATCGATCTGTTCGATTCTAAGATTATTTTACATTAGAGACCGCAACTGTTAATCCAAATTTTTTTAAGTTACAGTACATAAATTAATATTATTTTAGAAATAATCAAAGTCTTTAACACTATACCTGCCACTACTGGTTCCATTTTTAAAATTTCATTTAGAATTTCTAACATACAATGTTAATTTAGCTCCATTGAATTTCACAATTTTTCTTGCAATATATGTACAATGAATTTCTCAATATTCACTTCTCTATTTTTATTGTTTGTCTTCTGAGAAAAATATGTAATCTGTTTTGGTTAAAATTTGGTATCAAATTCTGGTTAGCTTCCGATGTAAATAGTAGAAACATACATATAGCAAAGAAGAAAGGATAGAATCTTCAGTTTCCACTGCCTTAGAACAGTCTAACAACGCATATTAAGAATAGTTAAATTTTACACTTGTACAGTTCCGAAGCTACTAGTGTTTTATCAATAATTACGCTACTGTTAGAATCGGTGAAGCTTCCCCTTTAAAATGGTTTTTGGTTTTTGACGATCCGACTTTCCGTTTTGGAGATATCGTAATTTATGTGAAAGGGTAATTTTTTAAATTCAGCTATCCGTCTTACAGAAGTCCGTTAACGCGCGTTAAAAATACTAAAAACTTTAGATGCGTGTAATTTCGAAACTACTAGTGCTTTATCAATAATTAAGTTACTGTTAGAATCGGTGAAGCTTCCTTTTTAAACTGGTTTTTGGTTTTTGACGATACGACTTTCCGTTTTCAAGATATCGTAATTTATGTAAAAGGTCAATTTTTTTAATTCGACTATCTCTGTCTCCGTCTGACGCATCGCGTCGGACCTCTTTCTCTCGCACGCGAGTGACCGAGTGACGTAGCGTGTACTGTTTCCTACGAGTCACGTGCGGTCAACGACCTTGGCAAGGCCGTAGTAAGAATGTAAACAAACGCTTCGGCCCCTTCTATCTCCGAAACTAGCCACCGCATCGACTTGAAACTAAAATCGCTATATCTCCGGAACTAATAAAGCTATCGACTTGTTCGAACGCTCGTTTTAACAGGCATTTCATCCTCTATCCAATGACTATACCAACTACCATTATTTATGCTGTCTTCTATGTTTATTTTGAAATTTATTTTGACGCTATACAGGGTGTTCGGCCACCTCTAGCAAAAATTTTAATGAGCGATAGTAGAGGCCAAAATAAAACGAAAATCAAGAATACTAATTTGTTGATGGAGGCTTCGTTGCAAAGTTATTAACATTTAAAGTTCCGCCTGTAGAATGACAATTCGCTAAACAGCTGGTTCGCGCGGACGGTTGCGGCAGGCGAGTGCTAGTGGTTCTCACGCAGCATGAAAAATTCTGCTTACCGACATTATCGACAGCCTTAGATTTTTGTCCACTTATGGGAATGCGAACACCTTACGTTGAATAAGATTCAACCTGTCTTATGAAAATCCAGAAGGGCATATCAAAACTCGTCCGACGAGATTTTCACAGAGAAAGGGTGAATGCCAGTTCCAATACACAATGTTGTGAACAAAAATTACCCACATGCGATTATACACGTCCCACGATTGTCCACAATGTCCACAAGTATCCACAAATAATCCTTTCAGGCACTAACCACTATGCAATTAAATAAACACGTACCGCGATTATGTTATTCGTGAATGTCTACGTGTACGTGTATCACGATTCTTCCGAGTTACTTACGAATAAAACTGTTATTAATTTTTCAAATACACTTCAATTTAAAAATGTAAACAGGAATTTAATAAGTATTCGCTGATTGTTTATATCACTGTATTTCTTACATGCTACTTAATACATAACTGAAATGTGTCGCGTGAACTAGCTTGACTGATACTGTTTTACGACTGACTAGCTGGCCGAACACGTGCCGATGCTGCCCTTTGTCTCCGCTGTGTGTGAGAGAGATAAGCGAGGCGAGTGACGTAGAATCGGGGCCTGTTCGGCATATGTTTCTCTGAACCTCGTCGGTCGATGGCACAGTCAGCTGCTAGTATTGTTACATTCTTCGCCGTGAACGTAAATCGATGCGAAAATTTCATTTATCCTGCGATTCCTTTTTACATTTTTAAATTGAAGTGTATTTGAAAAATTAATAACAGTTTTATTCGTAAGTAACTCGGAAGAATCGTGATACACGTACACGTAGACATTCACGAATAACATAATCGCGGTACGTGTTTATTTAATTGCATAGTGGTTAGTGCCTGAAAGGATTATTTGTGGATACTTGTGGACACTGTGGACAATCGTGGGGCGTGTATAATCGCATGTGGGTGATTTTTGTTCACAACATTGTGTATTGGAACTGGCATTCACCCTTTCTCTGTGAAAATCTCGTCGGACGAGTTTTGATATGCCCTTCTGGATTTTCATAAGACAGGTTGAATCTTATTCAACGTAAGGTGTTCGCATTCCCATAAGTGGACAAAAATCTAAGGCTGTCGATAATGTCGGTAAGCAAAATTTTTCATGCTGCGTGAGAACCACTAGCACTCGCCTGCCGCAACCGTCCGCGCGAACCAGCTGTTTAGCGGATTGTCATTCTACAGGCGGAACTTTAAATGTTAATGACTTTGCAACGAAGCCTCCATCAACAAATTAGTATTCTTGATTTTCGTCTTATTTTGGCCTCTACTATCGCTCATTAAAATTTTTGCTAGAGGTGGCCGAACACCCTGTATAACCAAAAATGTTTCAGCGATTCCTATTGATCATACGACTGGTGTGCCATAAAACTGGATCATAAATTTGTATGAAGGACGTTTGCGCAATTACCAGCATTTTTTCAAAAATTCTCCGGAATTAAGTACGGTATCGACTTGAAACAAAGTTCAAAGAGTAAATTTTCTGTATGAAGTTAAAGTACGTAGTATGCACATTCAGAGTAAAAGTATTGAATATTTTTGTACAGATTTTTAGAATGCTCATTTTACCAGAGCAATGGTTACAAATTTAAGCACAATACAGAATAGAATTTCAACTTCTTTCTAAATCGATAAATACTTCCAAGATCTAAAATCCCATAGCTTAGATTACTCCGTATTAAAGATTATAAAAGTGATTGGATAAATAAGAAAATGTGCATTCCGCGAAGTGACTGAAGGTTAACAGACATATCAAAAATACTATAAAGGTACCAAACAATAGGGAAGATCACAGTGAACAAAGGTGACATCAGTATTTCTGATAAAAAAATAGTTTTATTTAAACGTTCTAAAAATATACGTAAAAATTTATAATCGATGTTCACTTCTTCGACCATGTATGCCTGATCATGTCTGCCGCCTTTTCGGCCGTCATCATGATCGCAGCGATCGGGTTAGCGTTTGGCACAATTGGGAATATGGAGGCGTCGGCGACTCGAATGTTCGACACTCCGCGCACTCGTAGCTCCGGATCTACGACAGCTGTTACATCATTGTAGTTACCCATTCTGCACGTTCCCGATTGGTGATTCTCAGGTCCCGTTGCAGATCTTACATAGCATTCCCAGTACGCGTCACTGCCGAAGTGGTAGCTAAATCAGAAAATTACGAGGTTAGAACGAGACGAAATACTCACAATACATTAATAGTTATTTCATTCGATGCATGCTTTCCACTTAATAGAATGTAACATCTGTCTTAAATTGTTCCGGACCCCTGAATAAGTTGTTGGAATAATATAGACTCTAATCAAATAGAAAAGTTCCTTTTACAATAGTCTTCAGAGTCATATCAAACTAATTCTTCATAATCTCTCCCTTCGCGACAAAAAAAATTTTCTTTTTTTGGGTTCCGGCTCACTCTGGTATTTGCTTTAACGAGGAAGTAGATAAACTGGCAAAGGAGACTTTCAGTACCAATTCCAAATACAGTTGTGACTATCCTGAACAAGACCCTAATCATATTATTTGGCAATGCCCACCGTTTGATATTGACAGAAGTGGAACGATTGCTAAACTACGTTCATTAAACTTTTTCCCTTCTTACACGGTTAACACGTTTCTTTTTTAACCAAGTATCTCCTCGCTAATATGCAAATTTCCAGAGAAGAATTGTGTACATACTAAATCTAAGCCAACTGCTGTCTTCCTATAACGTATAATTTTGTATCGATAAGAGTGTAGTATAATCTAAATATAGATTTAATCATTGCTAATAATCCTGCAGACGGTTACACAGCATTCAATAAAAAAAAAACTCCCATTCTTCCTCACGATCGCGACACTTACTTGGTGCAAAGTGGGTGGATCACCGGCTCCAGCCGGAGGTCCCAGTTCTTCATAGTCTCCGTGTTCGTGAGCTCGATGGACTTCTTGATACCCTCCATCAATACGAGCATATCTTTCGTGTCGGTGAAGTAGTTGGGGTAAATGAGGGGCGGCGAGAGAGGATCCGCGGAGCGTAGCCTCAGTTCTCCGCGACTGGCCACGGTGACCGTCGTCGGTCTCATCACGATTTGTCTTCTGTCCGAGCAGAGGGCGAGGGCACCGCTCAGACACTCGAATTGCAGACCGGTTCTCGGGCAATTCGGCGAGAAACCGTCGAAGAATATTTGAATGTCAGGCACGCCAGCGGACGCGAAATTGCTTTGAAGGAACGCGGTCACCTGGGTGAGTCCGGTGCTAGTCAGAGGACCAGTTCTGGTCTCCAGATACTCGTTGACGCTGTCCATCGTCATGGACTCGTAGGCCGTGTCCTTAATACTGTAATGAACCGCGACTGACACGTGGTTGTGAAGATTCTTCCCTACCGGTAGATCCTTGATCACGGGCATTCCAAGCTTGGTCAGCTGTTCCTTTGGCCCTATTCCAGAGTTCAGCAGAATCTGGGGCGATCCGACCGCCCCGGCTGTCAGGATCACCTCTTTCTTAGCCTTCAAGACCCTCTTGAAACCGTTCTTGTCTATCAGTTCCACGCCGTACGCTTTGCCCTCCCAATGGTTCATCAGAACCCTCGTCACCTGGGCGTTGATCAGGACTTTGAGGTTCCTTCTGCCGAACACGGGTCTCAGATAATTTCTCGAGGTCGTGCCTCGTAGACCGTCCGCCGTCGTCATCGGGGCGATCATGAATCCGGTCTGCATATACTCTCTTAGTTTAGACGTCTGATAGCCCAGTTCTCCAGCAGCTTTCAGAACCTCGTCGGCGAACGCAGGCTTGTGAGGGTAATATTGTATCTTCATTGGGCCCGGTATGGGAACGGTTCTTGGTTTATCGGACACCATAGATTGATCGGTGGGATTCTCAGCGCGTTCGAAGTAGTGAGCGATCTCGTCGTAGGACCATCCGATAGCACCGGACCTGGCCCAGCTGTTGTAGACTTCCGGGTGTCCGCGCACGTACATCATCCCGTGCATGCCGCTGGTCCCGGACACCATCTTTCCTCGTGGCCAGGTGCACACACCATTGGTCTCTACCGATGACAAATTAAATTAGAACTTAGTGTAGGAATTATTTGTAGGAAATTCCTCGTAGTGGCTTGGAGGCTTTTTTTAAAACAATAACGTTTATAACTCAGGTAATTCTCACGACTCACACTGACAAAAGTCCACAAATACACACGAAAACTCTCTTACAATTCGCTAAAGCCTCTCTACGCGTTCTTTCTGTGTTCGTTCTGTAACAGATTCACTCGAAACATTCCTCAGCCACACCAATCAATAAACATTCACATGGCACATCCATTCCTACAGTAGAAATAACTATTTCTGAACTACAGAGTGGTCCATGCAATTTGTACACCTCTACATATATCAAAGTATGCAATGGACGTAAAAATTTTGTATAAAAGAAATTGCATGGTTTGAATTAGTCCGCACGATTTTTCAGCCCCTCTCGATGGTCTGACAAAGAAATGCTTATCTTGAGAAATTGCAGTTACTTAAATTTAAAAACAAATTAATTTTCGATGAAAATTATATTTTTCACTGTTCTATTTTTAATTTCATAGTATTGTAGGCGACATCGAGACGAATCTAACGACCTGTTATACCATGACCTTCAGATGGCATTGAAAGAGAAATTGTCATGAATCGATTACTATAATATCTGAAATTATTCGGCGATAGATAACACGAAGGCCTCGCATTTACAAGTAAACTTTACGAATGCTCATTTATTTACCTTCTGAGCTTATCACAGAAAATAAAAGGAAAATTTGTACAAAATTTATATAAAATGTGTAAAAGTGTAGAAAGAGTAGAACTTCACGTTGCAGAAGGCAGAATGGAGTTCGAACATTTAATTTAATTACTAATTACATGCACCTTTTTAACATGCGTATTTTCAGTTTGGTTTTGTATAAATTTTTCCTTTTATTTTGTGTTAATTTACGAAGTTGAATAAATGTTATTTTAAATGTCTAAATTCGAGACCTTAGTATTAATTTCTCATTGAATTATTTCAAATATTGCGGCAATCGATTCATGGCAATTTTTCGCCTCCAATATTATGAAATTAAAAATATAACAGTGACCTTAATTTTTTATCGAAAGTCAATTTGTTTTTAAATTTAAGCAACTGCAATTTCTTGTTGGTTAAATACTGATTAACTTCGATAGGAAACATTTTTTTGTCAGACCATCAAAAGGGGCTGAAAATCATGTGGATTAATTCGTACCTCACCCTGTAATTGTTTTTTTTTATATGCACTACAATGGCGATTACACTATAAATGAAAAGGAACTTTCTATTTACTTCTATGAAATGATGTTTATTACAACTGTGTTTTCTCTCGATTTACCATAGTGTTGTCTTATCCTGTTTCTCATTTTATTTTATTTTTAAAAACACGGTCACCCATCCTAATACTGGTCGCGGCCAACGTAATTAAATGTTTGATGTTTCCAACGTGGCACGAACGCCGATAAATTATATTTTTAATATATTCAAACATAAAACCTTAAGAAAAGCAAGTCATTTTCACTTATAGAGAATCACTATTATAGCGTAGGAATACGAGTGGGAGTAACTGTAAGCAATTCCACTTCCTTTTTTTCTCTCACTATCACGTAGACCACCTTAACTTTGTATTTCTATAGTTATATAGAGGACTCTGTTCTGATTATGCTTGGACTATTATTTCTAATAATTATATGAGTCGAGGACCAAATTGGTAAGATGGCGTACCTAAACATGCGGTGGGATGGGGCTCCGTGGGTTCCGTTTTGAATTTCCAATCTACACTCGAGTTGACAGCATGAGTCGCCAGTCCTGGAATGGCAGTCATCGATGGCTCTTCCGGTCCTGCTTCGATCAACAGAACCTTCCACCATTGATTGTCGCTCAATCTCCTGGCGACTATAGGACCAGCCACCCCGGCGCCGACGACGATGAAGTCGAACCTGTGTTTACACGGTTTTGATTAATCGTAATTACCGATAGTTGACACATTCTGATGATTTATCGATGAATCATTACATTAGTACGCGATGCGTAACATGAAAACCTGTGGATGCATTCTGGAAGTCAATTTCCAGGCATTTGCCAGGTATCCCTTAAAACAGCCACCTAGAGAAAATCACGGAAACAATAGAAACTAGTTCGTCCACAGCTAAATTCACGTATATTGAGCTGGCGTAGCCATTTGAAAAGGCCAAAGCAAAATTAATACGATATTTTTTTGCTATTTATTTGCTAATTATTTGCCAAAGAATTAATTTTTTTGCTCCAGCCGTTTTTGAGAAACAATGGCTACGCTACCGTAATATTAAGCTGGCGTAGCCACTTATTGTATCTCTGTACGTAAGACAGATATCAATACCATTCTTGCGGCATATTTTGTTGCTAATTTATTGCTCGTAATCCACTGAATATTAATTTTTTTGCCCCAGTCGTTTTCGAAAAACTGTGGCTGCTGTAGCTCAATATTAACCTAACGTAGCCACATGTTGTATCACAGTAGGTAACAAAGCTATCGATACCATTCTTGCGGCATATTTTTTTGCTAATTATTTGCTATCAATCCCCCGAATATTAATTTTTTTTGCTGCAGTCTTTTTCGAGGTCGTTTCTCGAAAAATACTGCAGCAAAAAAATTAATATTCGGGGGATTGATAGCAAATAATTAGCAAAAAAATATGCCGCAAGAATGGTATCGATAGCTGTGTCAGGTACAAAGGCGCGACACGTGGCTATGCTAGATTAACGCTGGTCCAGCGCGGTCGTCGTTTCTCGAAAAAGACTGCGACAAAAAAATTAATATTCGGGGGATTGATAGCAAATAATTAGCAAAAAAATATGCCGCAAGAATGGTATCGATAGCTGTGTTAGGTACAAAGGCGCGACACGTGGCTATGCTAGATTAACGCTGGTCCAGCGCGGTCGTCGTTTCTCGAAAAAGACTGCAGCAAAAAAATTAATATTCGGGGGATTGATAGCAAATAATTAGCAAAAGAATATGCCTCAAGAATGGTATCGATAGTTTTCTTAGGCTCAAAGGCGCGACACGTGGCTATGCTAGATTAACGCTGGTCCAGCGCGGTCGTCGTTTCTCGAAAAAGACTGCGGCAAAAAAATTAATATTCGGGGGATTGATATCAAATAATTAGCAAAAAAATATGCCGCAAGAATGGTATCGATAGCTTTCTTAGGCTCAAAGGCGCTACACGTGGCTATGCTAGATTAACGCTGGTCCAGCGCGGTCGTCGTTTCTCGAAAAAGACTGCGGCAAAAAAATTAATATTCGGGGGATTGATAGCAAATAATTAGCAAAAGAATATGCCGCAAGAATGGTATCGATAGCTGTGTCAGGTACAAAGGCGCGACACGTGGCTATGCTAGATTAACGCTGGTCCAGCGCGGTCGTCGTTTCTCGAAAAAGACTGCGGCAAAAAAATTAATATTCGGGGGATTGATAGCAAATAATTAGCAAAAAAATATGCCGCAAGAATGGTATCGATAGCTTTCTTAGGCTCAAAGGCGCTACACGTGGCTATGCTAGATTAACGCTGGTCCAGCGCGGTCGTCGTTTCTCGAAAAAGACTGCAGCAAAAAAATTAATATTCGGGGGATTGATAGCAAATAATTAGCAAAAGAATATGCCGCAAGAATGGTATCGATAGCTGTGTCAGGTACAAAGGCGCGACACGTGGCTATGCTAGATTAACGCTGGTCCAGCGCGGTCGTCGTTTCTCGAAAAAGACTGCAGCAAAAAAAATTAATATTCGGGGGATTGATAGCAAATAATTAGCAAAAAAATATGCCGCAAGAATGGTATCGATAGCTTTGTTACCTACTGTGATACAACATGTGGCTACGTTATGTTAATATTGAGCTACAGCAGCCACAGTATTTCGAAAACGGCTGGGGCAAAAAAATTAATAATCAGTGGATTAACAGCAATAAATTAGCAACAAAAGATGCCGCAAGAATGGTATTGATATCTGTCTTACGTACAGAGATACAATAAGTGGCTACGCCAGCTTAATATTACGGTAGCGTAGCCATTGTTTCTCAAAAACGGCTGGAGCAAAAAAATTAATTCTTTGGCAAATAATTAGCAAATAAATAGCAAAAAAATATCGTATTAATTTTGCTTTGGCCTTTTCAAATGGCTACGCCAGCTTAATATACGTGCTAAATTCCTCCAATCTCTTTCGTCTTGTTTGATATAGCTCTTTTTGTTCAAACACGAAACAAAGCAACTTTGAAATTAAACTCGAGCTTCAATAGTACATACACGGTGTTTAGCCACCCCTGGGAAAAATTTTAATGGGAGATTCTGGAGGCCAAAATAAGACGAAAATCAAGAATACTAATTTGTTGATGGAGGCTTCGTTAAAAAGTTATTAACGTTTATAGTTCCGCCCGTATTGAATTTTTTTCTAGAAAGTGGGTAGGATTTCGGGGGTATGTGTATTGAACAAAAATTATTGTAATTGACCCCCGCAACCGAAAATAATTTTTCCAGAACGATTTGAAATTTTTTAATTTTGTCGAAAAATGTCAGTACCTTCTCGAATTTTGTTCTCAAAAGTGCGTAGGAATTCGGGGGTATGTCTATTGACCAAACATGACTATAATGGACCCCCGCAACTAAAACTAATTTTTTTAGAACAATTTGAAATTTTTTTTTCACCGAAAAATGTAGGCCTTGTCGATTTTTCTTAAAAATTAGTTTCTCATTTTTAATAAATTTGTTTGACGGTCTACAGAAAAGTTGTCTAACACTTTTCTGTAGGTACCCATGAGCTCTACTTCGGAAAAAAATTTCATTGAGATACCTTTACTATTGTAGGAGTTATGATCGTTTGAAAATTGGACCATTTTTATGGGGTTTTTCTAACCTTACGAGGTCAAGGAACACCTTTTACAATATTGTTAGCATTTCTACATATTCTCCACTAAAATACGCGTTGTTCGCATTTTGGAAAATTAAAATCCTCCAATCCGTTCAGGAGTTATGACATTTTAAAGATTCGCATGAAATTTCAAGGAAGCATTTCTGGCTTCACATTAGATTTTCGGTAAAGAATTTTTTTCTCGTAAGTGCGTAGGAATTCGGAGGTATGTCTATTCATCAAAAATACTTGTAATTGATCCCTGTAACTAAATATAATTTTTTTAGTATGATTTGAAATTTTTTAATTTCGTCTACTAATTTCAGTACCTACTCGAATTTTTCCTCGAAAGTGGGTAGGAATTCGGGGGTATGTCTATTCATAAAAAATGCTTGTAATTCACCCCTGTAACTAAATATAATTTTTTTAGTAGGATTTGAAATGTTTTAATTTAATTTTTTATTTAACTTTTTAATGAAGCCTCAGCCAAGAAATTTATATTCTTGATTTTCGTCTTATTTTTGCCTTTAGAATAAAATTTCCATTAAAATTTTTCCCAGAGGTGGCTGAACACTCTATATACTGATCTATATAAAAAAAGATGACAGGTGACACGTTTCTACAAATAATTATTATAAACAGAACCCCCTTTTATCGAGTAAAATTCACACTGAAAGTCACCTTTTCGATAATTGAAATTTTGTCGATTCCCAACGCAAGTTGCAATAAAAGAAGACAAACTTGGAACCGAGGTTTCCCTAACGTCGCTCGATGAATAAATGAGGTTTCGAAAAGTCGAAAAGTTCTCACCATTCTCCAGTAGGTACATCCTCTCTGCCAAGCCTGCTACAGGGATCAGAAATGTCGCACCTGGCGGTTATTACTTTTTGTATCAGATTCATGAAGGAGTTGGTCACGCCGCACTTGGACTCCATGTACGACGTGTCTTTGAAGTTGCAGTTGCAACATCCTTTGGTTTCGTTGTTGGTATCCAAATGGTCGGGCTGAAACTGGTTAACGACCTCGTTAATTAAACCGTTTTCTCCTTGTTGCGGCGTGATTTCACTACTCTGTATCTTCCGGTTGCGAAATTAATGCAGATTTAGTCGACTAAGGTCTATCAAATTCTACGGAAATTATATCTTCAGTGTACCATAGAAACGGCGATCGCGAGATAGGCGAGACGCGACATCGTTCCGACTGAAATGCAGAAAACGCAGCCGCGTTCCACTTGCGTTAAATAATTTCAGCCAACCTTGCTTCGAGCGATAACGCCCGTATTTAGGGTACTAACTGACGAAACGTTTTCCTTATACTATTTATAGACTCCTAAAAGGGAATTTCAGATACTCGAGACCTCGAGATGTTCCAAATTTTTCCTACCTCTGTTCGTGAAAAGAGATTTCTCATATAATTTTAACCCCTTAACGCTCACATTTTTCGGGTGGACCAACAATGATCAGTTTTCTTTATTGGGCTTGTTTCTAAGCTGTATAAAAATGCGATTTTTGTTAATTACAATGTTGTATCTAACGTACAATTTCAAGGAAAACAAATATTGTCATCCCTTAAATCGATCCATTAAACAAATATCATTTTTCAAAGCAGTCAGACTCGAGCATGAGCGTTAAGGGGTTAAGAACATCGATGATACGAACTTCAGCTGGTTCGCGAGTAAATATATTTAGAAAGTTTGAAACTGATGCGTGAAATAATTTTCTCTTATAAAAAAAAATTCTAAAGATCTTAAGCGATCGTCTAGAATCGTTGATAATTAACTTTGTGTTTTAAAGACGTATCCCGGTAGGATTTAAAGTTTCTGACAATTGTTGATAGATGACCGTAGTTTTTTTAAGCTAGGAAATCGGGTCTATTTACCTGAAACGGATGTTGAAAAGCGAACGCCAATTGCGCCAGAAGGGAGAGCAGGATGTACAGTTTCATTGTATCCAATTAGAGGCCAGTGTCACCTGTAAACAAAAAAGACAGATTAGAGTCGCGATCGACACGGCAAACGAGCGTCTAATTAAAGTTCTTTTGTGCCTAACAGCTACAACTAAATGTATAATTGAGCGTAATTTTCGCGACGTGTGTGAATTACTACACGGTACGAACCTCCGACAAATTCGATGCACCTTATCGTCGAAACGCGTGAACGCAAATGATAATCGTGTGTTCATTGTTCGCAGTTTTTATTCGTTCGGGAAATGCATTTGTCACTCTAACAGAAAACCCAGGTATTCTTAGCTTGCGTCATTTTAGGTATTATCTCCAATTTGGTGTCGTAAAGCAGGGAATCACCATGTCGGTTGCGGCGAGTCTCTTTAATCCGGATATCGGTACATCCGGAACGCGCGATCGAAAACTTCGATCTCTTAAAAATTTCGTTCAGAGAATATCACAGGTCCCGACGATTGATTTTTAATCATTAATCAAGGGATTGTTTCAATCGATTGCTGTTTAGAAATAGAAATAAAGTTCTTGTGTAATACATGAGCAGATAAGAAAAATGTTTTCAATGTCTGTTGCACAAGAACGAGGTCCTATAATCAAAAGTTTTTCCCCGTAAAAGTAGCTCAAGAGCAGATACTGTTTAAGGAAAAAAGTATAATATAAATTCGAGGCGAATATGTGAAGAATTAATTTGTTATTACTTAAGTCGAAATACAGTGGGATTAGAAACGTTATTGCGTCAATTTTTATGAGTATAAATCACAAACTGAGTAATAACAATTATATTTATCTGTCGTATGTTATAAAAAAGTTACACTATTTTAAGGGGCACGAGTTGAAATGTAATTTCATTCTAATCATACTATAATTAGATAGTTATAACACGCTTTAAAGATTTACGATAATGATGATACCGCATCGATACGTTAACTAACGTATGATTACAGTTTAATAACGCGCTGATTATATTAATCGAATCGTGGCAAATGTAATCAATAATCAAATTAAATTTTGTCCAACTTTGCTCGTACAAAAAAACAAATTCGACCATAATAACCATATCGTCTCGATCCCTTAATCTCAAAATACTTGAGAAGATAATTTTAAAAATTCCTAATGATTCACGCGGTAAATCGATCTACACGTCCGATCCGTAAGCGTCAACTATTCTCGGGAGTATACAATGACTTTTACACTTCATTGGTAATTCCTAAGACCACAGATCAGAATAATTGCAGTTTCCTTCGATGAGATAATTGCCTAAGGCTTCCACCGATTCCTCATATATATTTTCTATTATCTTCAACGTTATTAACGTACATAAACTTTCCCATTTCAAGCACAAGGAAAACTTGACTAATCCAATCCTAGTTTCCCGCAATTCTCGCGAGGATTTCGAGAAATACTGCATTCGTCATTCGCTATGTTTCTCGTTTTATCGCGTCTGTTAAACACCAGATAAGCGGTTCTTAACCTTTTAAATAAATCTTGTTGTCGCGGATCTACCAGAATTAACATTTAAACCGAGAGTGTCTGAATTTGTATCATACGATATAAACGATGAAAACATTTCGGAGAAATTTTTATTTGTAACAAGGACTCCAATTACTGCGTCTTTTCACTGTTCTCTCACGGATCCAATTTCGTTCGAAACCGTGCGATACGAAAGATCCTAGGCAAGATCCCATAAGTTCTGGAGTTACTGTAGTCCCGGACGCGGTAAATTACTTTCAGGCATAGAGCCGTGCATCTCTTAACGAGATACTCTCGCGCAGAAGTTGCCCGGTTGACGTTAGGAGAGCGAAATTTACGAGGATGCAACAATGTGCTCTCGAAGCGAACGTGAAATCCGCGCGAGCGTGAAAGTTCGCGCGCGTAGCCAAATCAAATTGCAGTTTCACTACGCGGCTCGGACGAAAACGGAATCAAAGTCGTCTCGTCGTAGATAAAACGTCTCGCGAGCGCTGAATCCGAAAGTAAATGCAGCGTGTACGGGTCGTTTAGGCCTCCCCAGCCACGCTCTCGAACCCGACTGTTATTGGAAATAACGAAACAACGAGGGCTCCCTTTCATGTGAAAGTCTCGATCGTCAGATACCGCTGCTCTGGATCGCTATTCTAATGATCTACACCGTGAAAAGCCGACGATTTCTTCCGGACAGATAAGAGCCAAACGCTCGTCGATGGTCGACGCGACCGGTTCGATGGTGAATTTTCCACTTTCGAATCGCCGTGGAATCCTTTCGACGCGAAAGTTTTATCTCCGCGAGAGCATTCATAAAATTTGTCGCGTCTTGTAATGACCACAAGCGGAGAAAGACTTTGGGTACGACGTAACGTTACGATTCTTCTAAATGTTAGATCACTTCCTACGTACATACGTAGCTCGCTGTTGAAACTTTCGATGGAAAGTGGATCTAGATAAACGTAATCCTCGCGATTTCAGTCACGCGACCTACGTCGCTTCTTTGTTTTTGGCAACCTTAAAGATACTCTTGATTAAAAATTAATGAAAAAGAATCTAGAGAAAGGCAATAGTTTGTTATTTGGAACGTATTAACTAATTTCAAAGAGAACTGTATCGACGCGTTAATTCAAAGTTAGGAAGATATGCAAGAAGATGGCCTCCTCAAAGGTTCCGACTAACCCTGTAAATCATTATTACATTAGACATTCTACATCTTCACCAGTTCCTTTCTCTACTGTCGTTTCATCCACCGAATCCTAGCTAGTTTATTTTGAAACAAGGCATCGTTCAGCCACCAATGGCTGTCGCTCCATTTCATCGCAATCACTACACGTCGAGTCATCGCGTGTTACAAAACGTCTTCACCAAACCCCATCCGTGGTGTGCTAACTTCTGTTAGCTAGTCCTATCCGTTGCGTAAACAATTCTCCGGTTCTATACAAATAAACTGGTTCTTCGAGGAAATGTTGATACGAGGAAAGAAAACACTCCGTTCGTCGTACACCGCACTTTCGTCGATTCTCGCGTTGGGCGATTCACTGATAGCTCGATTAAGTTTCACTCGGTGTGCAGAATCCGGGGGATCCATTTATCCGAGAAAACAGAGTCGCACGTGCGACAAATTCCCTAGGAACCGCACCTAGGAGTCGAGGGATGGAACGGTGGGCCAGTTTCACCTGAAATTCCGTGCGAAATGGAACAGCGCGCGATTGTGGACGGTGTCACTGGCTGGTGGTAGACAATTCGAAGACATTTGGGTGGCTGGAGATACGGGCTCCTCTCGGTGGAACACGGCACAAAGAAAGAACTCATCCGGGGCAGCTGTGCGACACTGGTCTGCGTGAAAGCTGCTGCCCGATGCTCGCCATACGAACGTTCGTTTATTCTATCTGTGTGATTCGTCTTGTCAAGAGCCGCGTCTGTGGCCGCGGTTATACTAGCCACGCTAATTAAAGAGACCGTGGCTTGTGGTGGTGAGAACGTTCGCTTTCTTTTGGAGAAAGAGCCGCGATCCGACGTCATCCAGTCAGTGAACCACACGAGCCTGCTGTACACGTCATGCGAATTGAAGCCAGACCGCGTTGGGAACATAAACTTAGTCATCGCACGGAGTCAGGGCAGCGTTAAAGACGCGATGCACACTGTGACGAGCAATCTAGCTGGTCAGAAGTCAATTTTGGAACCTTAATTTTGTTTGAAAGCGACTATAAAAGAGTTGGAACGACGAGAAACGACGATCATAAACGCTGTTTACGACGATTGATTTTACCGGGAAACGTGCTCCTAATTTCTGGGTAGAACGTTGTAAAAAACAATCGAAATCGAAATCGAAACATACCTCGAACGATGAGTCGTAGATGGTCACCCTTCCGTATTCGAAGTACTAATGATTAGCTCTTGATGCGTTAATTATATTTCTTCACGATTATCTCGGTACGTTATCGCGGTTGTAAATTCATGTAGTTTGATAATATCGAATGTTTTAGAATTATACGAAACGCGAGATGATTATCAGACGTTATTGATTAGTTTTTTACGTTCAAAGATCCACGTCCCATGTATCGATCTGGATAACAATCCGTACACTTGTAATTAGTACGATAACTTCGTGATAAACAAAACGGGAAGTGTTTTGTACCGTTAATAACATTTGTTTACGTTTAAAGCGGTTATAAATTCTTTACTTTTATCAGTGTATCGCGATAGAAATCAATAATAGGATCGATACCGAGAATTCGAATTTAGGGATAACTTAATTCTTCATGTTTTATTGTCTCGATAACCTTTGATATCGTTATTGATAATCCCTTTGTTCCGGTTTGCAATAGTTTCGAAATAGCTCGCAAACAATTTCGTTCCTAAATGTATAATGTATTGAAGGACCTGCTGTTAAAGTGAGAATTGATTTTTTATTAAACCAAAGGGATGTTTCGATAACGTTAATTCGTTAATAAGTCACCGACTTGTTTAGATAATTTTGGACAAAATAAATTAAATACCAAACTATTATCAAAATTGATATTTTTTATAAGTCGTATTAAAAAATATTTCACAAAATAAATGAAATATTTTTGCGCGAGTTACGACGTCTCCTATAAACACTATCATCAACAATAGACTTCTATAAACTATTCAGCGAAATATAATAACGCAAAATAGAATTAGAAAGATTCAAAATATTACGTGTATTCAACTCGTAACTTAAAAATCGCGTGATATTTAAATAAGTTTCAATATCAACAATAATATTCATTTTATTATCTTCTAAACATTGGTACTCAATGAGTTGCATATTTTATATTATAGACAAACTTCAATTTTCGTCGTGTTCTTATTAATATCAGACTAGATACGATGTTTATCTGTTCCATGCCTGAGAATCGTGGTCGACTTTTATTAATCGAGCACGTACCAAATATGTACACATTCGAACTTTGCACTTTCCTTTTTAACACTAGAACTACCGAACCAGTCAAAATGATCCATTCATAATTTCTAATAAAACTTGTAAAAAATTTAATAAATTTAATTTTCTATAAGAGAATATATATATAAACACTTATTTCCATTGCATTATATATTTCTTCGCGTATACAAATGAACACACTATAATTGTCGGTAGTTCTAGTGTTAAACCATGCACATCGAACCGTGATTTCGTGAATTTTTATTTCTATCGTTTTCTTCGTGATCAGCCCCCCGATTATCGAACCTGATCGCTATGGTCGGACGAAACGGTCAAAGGTTAGCTCTTACCTGGCCCGCAGATATTTTTCACCCTGTTTCACCACATTTTTCTCGCGATTGTTTTCTTTTTTTTCAATTCATCGCCGTCGGTTCGATCGTCCGCTCGTTCAAGTTTACACCGATCACATACTTTCTTCCGCCTTTCGAATCTGCTGAACGTTTCGCGGGCACAATGTTCTCTGGCGGCGGCGAACCATGAACGCGTCGAAGAAGAAAGGATCCGGGGGAGCGGAGATTTTTTACCGGACGATGAGCCGTTTGGAATCTCCTCTCGACTACTTCGTCTGGTTCGGCTAGTAAAAAAATAAAGATAACACGAGGACGGGCCGAAAAAGGAGCGAGACGCCCAGGGAACGAACCGGAGGCGGACGATTCGCCGGAAAGAGGCGAGTTTCCGGCTGACGCGACTCGAGCAACGAGAATCACTGAATTGCGCCGATGTGCCCCACGGTTTCACTCGCGCCAACCTCACAGAAAGTGGAACCTTAATTGACCGGGCCACGGCCATTGCGATAGAAAATGCGTATCAGATCATTTCATAAGACTTCTACGAATTATTTCCCCCCTTTCATTCACCTATACTTCATTCAAAATACATCTTTCCAAATCAAAAGAACTTCCCACCTCTTCGTCAAGGTTAACTTGCTTACTAAAATATTTTTATCAATTCACGTTCTCCAGAATCATATTTACTGTTCAGGTAAATATTTTGGTTAACTTTTTAAATTTTTTAGCCCTTAACAACCTGGTACTTCATTTTCTTTAATTTCAGATGTATATTGTTTGATACATCTAGGCACACCTAACAGTTACAAATGACTTGAAAACATTATAAAATTTCGTAAAACATTAACTGATAGAACGAGGCTTGGTAGATTATCGGTAGTCGATGTGTTTTTAAAAAAACTGTTATATGAGAACCAAGTATGGGTGCCTTTTGTGCTCCCCCCAGAATTGCAATCCTTTAGAAACGATTCGCGCAACATGATTTTGAAACGACGGGGTCTACATTCAACTGTGGAAAAAAAAAGCAATTGCGCGAAACGACGTACAAGATAAAATGGCTAAAGTGACTAATAGTTCGCCAACGCTTCAAAGTCAGATCCTATTGATACATAATTTACTCTCTCTCTCGTAAGAGGATGAAATATAACTGGAACAAGGAATAGAAATCTGCTACTCCGCCACGCCGACTAACAATCAGATATCATTGCTATAAAAATAATGCCTCACGCGAAAGACCCCGAGTCGCGATCTCGCGGAATCAGGTTTAGCCACGCAAGACTTATTCGCCTCCATCTTTTCAACAAAATTATCTGTCTGAAACGTGGTTTGTGCAATATCCATCTATGAATCATCTCGTTCGTCGTTGTTGCAAATACTCCGCCAAAGAACTACCCGTGGTGGTAAATTTTTTCTATTGTTTTTAATTCCATTCACTGCTTTCTTTCGCGGGATGCTGAATGGCAGAACAATAGTATAAGAAACCATCTATTTATTAATTAAAAACAATTTTCAGTAGCTACTTGCTTCATTACTGTTAATTTATTGGACAGCTGGATGCGTGTTTTCATTAAATTTTGATCAATTTCAATAACAATACAAAAAATAAAATAAAATTTGTGGTGGTGCTTATTTTGAATTTTTTGAAAATTAATTTCTTGAAGCAGTTGTAAAATATTGAACACACGCAACTTGTGGTCTCCCTTTTCGGCCACAAGTTTAGAAATTTTTATGTACACGATTTTTCTCTTTCTAAATTCAGGATTTTCCTCTCCTTTTCATTTCACTGTTCGTTACATTCCACTTGTAAACTGCTTGTGTATCGAAAAGCCTGATTCGATATTCGTAGGAATTATGTTATTCGGAGCTAATAGTGCAGAACGAATGTTCCACATACTTTTAAAGCTCGCTTTATTTACTGTTCAATAAACAGTCTTAAATAGCGTCGGAATTCGGACAAGAGGAAAGTAAACCGAGTTATAACGTAACAATATAATATATTTCGGTTACAGTGTCTTGCAAAACATAGAATTGCAACACACTGGCAATTGGTTGACTGAACGTTTGAGACAGGGTTTGGATTTATTTGAATAAAAAGTTAACCTTCGCGTTAATCGCATTTTCTAAAACCCTAAGACCAAAAACATTGTCGACAAATGTCATGGTACTGCATTTGTTGCAGTATTATATTTCTTTCAAAACTTGCCATGAAATTTGTATATCAATCTATATGCTTCTGTTCTATTTTCTTGATTGAAATAATTAAATAATTTGAACCAGTAACGAATCCTACGATCAACGATATTGTTTGCAAATATCAGATCACGACGAGATGTACTAAAGCGTGTAATAGCGTGCGTGGGCGCGCAAATCGAACATTTTCTTTGATCGATCGTAACACTGAAACTAAAGAATATAGAACACATTCTCGTACGACGTATTTCATTTATTTTAGCGTGTCAAGTTAAGCATTTTATAAATAAAAATTCTTCAACGATTCAAGAATAATTTCCATCCGGTGCAAATAGATCTTTTTAAATTCGTACAATTACAAAGTAAAATTTAATATTTTAGAACTCCGCCTTTGTTCGTTAAAATATTCCACGCAGGGTTGCGCGAACCATAAAATACGAAAATATGAAAATTAATCGCTCGATCGCCGTCGATCGTAAAACTATTACCACTTGAACGCGGGTTTCACCAAAAAAGAAGAAACATATTAAATCGCGCGCAATTACCTGAACATCTTTTTGCAGCGATTAGAATACACGAGCCACCGCTTAAGAAATCCTGCATAACAATATCCATATTATCGCCCGAACTTTTACCTCGAGTTTCACTTATGTCAGCACCATTTTTCTTTTTTTTTTCTTTTTAACGCGTACCCTCGAAACGATTTACTTCGTTAATTAATCGGGACTCGCACTGACACAATAAACGGATCGCGAAATTCCTTTTACTTTTGCGTTAGGCCAGATCGATGATCTCAGCGGTGCCGATATCGGAAACGGACTTTTACTCGCGATATGTATCGATACTCGACGGCTCCGACGTAGCATAAATTAGCAACGCCGCGGCGGAGACTGCATTTTAGCTTACAATACCGGTCACGAAACCGCGCGGCGAGTATGTGAAACAGAAACGCGAAATATCTGGCTGGCCCAAACGAAAACGGAAGATAACGAGGAACGAAACCGCGGGGCCCCCGTTCGTTTCGGCGTTACCTCGCGTCTTACCTTCCACCGCGGTAACAATCCACTCTTATTATATAATTACAACGCTGGTCTCTTTCTCTCGGACACCACACGGTTACCCGGCCAGCAACTTATGCTAGTTTAACCGGGGAAGTGAAGCATATCGCGGTTCACATTTCGGATATATGTATGTAGCGGAGCACCGCTCGACTGGTGGAAGAAAGTCTCTTGGCATTAAGGCAATCATGTCCAAACGAAGCTCAGAAGCTTGGACACCTTCCTCCAGGATGGTTCTCTCTTTTAACCCTTTCGTTTCGTCTCGGGTTTTATTCCTTTTTTGGGGTCCCGTGGAAGAGATGGAAAAGGAAAGGAGAGGGGAGAGCGTTTCGTCACGGGTTTGCTAACGAACTCGTCGGTAAAGCATCCTAGCAGCCCTTGCCTTACGTGCTGAGATATTGGGAGACCTCGGTCGTACCTGGGAAATATTTTAATAGGATATTCTAGAGGCCAAAATAAGACTAAAATCAAGAATACTAATTTGTTGATCGAGGCTTCGTTAAAAAGTTATTAACGTCTAAAGTTCCGCCTGTAAAGCAGCTGCGTACGCGAGACAGTGGTTCTCACTCAGCATGAGAAACTCTACTTAGTGACGTATCGACAACCTCACAGATTTAAACGTCAATAACTTTTTAACGAAGCCTCAATCAACAAATTGGTATTCTTGATTTTCGTCTTATTTTTGCCTCCAAAATCTCCCACTAAATTTTATATGTCGGATAATTGAACTATATCTACATATGAAGTGATAAAAACGAGGAACATGAGGATTTACCAAAAAGGATTGACCAAAAATGATTGTAAATAACCCTCGCAACGGGAAATCATTTTTCCAGAACGATTTGAAATTTTTTACTTTGGTCGAAAAATTTGGGCACACCCCCTGTCGATTTTTCTTACAAATTCGTTTTTGATTTTTAATAATTTTGTTTGACGCTCTACAAAAAAGTTGTTTAATACTTTTTTGTAGGTATCCATGAGGTCTAGTTCAGAAAAAAATTTCAATGTAATATATTCGCTATTATTGGGGTTATGGCTGTTTGAAAATTGGACCATTTTTATGGGGTTTTGCTCACTTTACAGGGTTAAGGAGCAACTTTTCGAATATTTTTGGAGTTTCTACATATTCTTCATCAAAATACGCGTTGTCTGCGTTTTGAAACATTAAAATCGTCCAATCCGTTCAGGAGATATGATATTTCAAAGATATAAATGAAATTTCAGGGAAGCATTTCTGGCTTCACATTAGATTTTCGGTAAAGAATTTTTTTCTCGTAAGCGGGTAGGATTTCTGGGGTATTTCTATTGACCAAAAATAATTGTCATTGACCCCCGCGACGAAAAATAATTTTTTCAGAACGATTTGAAATTTTTTACTTTGGTCGAAAAATTTAGGCAATAGTGTCGATTTTTCTTAAAAATTAGTTTTTGATTTTTAACAATTTTGTTTGCCTCTCTATAGAAAAGTTGTTTAATACTTTTTTGTAGGTATCCATGAGGTCTAGTTCAGAAAAAAATTTCAATGTAATATATTCGCTATTATTGGGGTTATGGCTGTTTGAAAATTGGACCATTTTTATGGGGTTTTGCTCACTTTACAGGGTTAAGGAGTAACTTTTCGAATATTTTTGGAGTTTCTACATATTCTTCATCAAAATACGCGTTGTCTGCGTTTTGAAACATTAAAATCGTCCAATCCGTTCTGGAGATACGATATTTTAAAGATATAAATGAAATTTCAGGGAACTATTTCTGGCTTCGCATTATATTTTCGGTTAGTAATTTTTCTTGAAAGCGGGTAGGATTTCTGGGGTATTTCTATTGACCAAAAATAATTGTCATTGACCCCCGCGACGAAAAATAATTTTTTCAGAACGATTTGAAATTTTTTACTTTGGTCGAAAAATTTAGGCAATAGTGTCGATTTTTCTTAAAAATTAGTTTTTGATTTTTAACAATTTTGTTTGCCTCTCTATAGAAAAGTTGTTTAATACTTTTTTGTAGGTATCCATGAGGTCTAGTTCAGAAAAAAATTTCAATGTAATATATTCGCTATTATTGGGGTTATGGCTGTTTGAAAATTGGACCATTTTTATGGGGTTTTGCTCACTTTACAGGGTTAAGGAGTAACTTTTCGAATATTTTTGGAGTTTCTACATATTCTTCATCAAAATACGCGTTGTCTGCGTTTTGAAACATTAAAATCGTCCAATCCGTTCTGGAGATACGATATTTTAAAGATATAAATGAAATTTCAGGGAACTATTTCTGGCTTCGCATTATATTTTCGGTTAGTAATTTTTTTCTTGAAAGCGGGTACGATTTCGGGGGTATTTCTATTGACCAAAAATGATTGTAATTGACCCCTGGAACCAAAAATAATTTTTTTAGAACGATTGGAAACTTTTTAATTTTGTCGAAAAATTTCACACTTTTTCGAATTTTTTTCTCGAAAATGCGTAGGATTTTGGGGGTATATTTACGCACGAAAAATGATTGTAATTGGCCCTCGCAACCGAAAATAATTTTTTCAGAACGATTTGAAATTTTTTACTTTCATCAAAAAATTTAACTACCTTATATTATAGTTATTCGGATAATCAGGTGCCGGATAATCCGAACGCTACTGTACCAGTTTTCTCGATTTCCCCATAAACCATTCCTGGGATATAAAGCGATATAGAAGCGATAGAAGCGCTATGAAGCGATATCTGAAGAAAAAAATATAGCATTCCATTTAAGAAAATTAGATTGATCTTCAGATCTCCTCTACCATTCCAAAATTTCGGTCAGAAGCGCCTAAATACAGGCAACCTGGCAGCTATCTATGCGCGCATGGCAGGCCAAGTCGAAAGGCGTTCAGGAACGAATAAACGAGACATTATATCATTATAATTTTGTATTATCTTGAAAAATTCAGTTACACAGTCGAAATTTGATGCAGAGCATTTATAAGATTATTTATATTTTCTAAAGTTTTGGAAAACGTCAAAATTATTGTTATTTTAATATCAGAATTGCCATTGTTATTACTACGATTCTTATCTACTTTCTCGTTGTCTTATCTCGTTCAAAAGGTGGAAAAGCCTTATTTATAGTCCTTCAAGTCTTCCTTGATCATGTCAGCAGCCTTTTCAGCGATCATGATCGTCGGTGCGTTCGTGTTCCCCGAAACGAGCTTCGGCATGATCGAAGTGTCGATCACTCGTAGTTTATCAACTCCGTAAAGCCTTAGCCTGGGATCGACCACAGCCATTGTGTCGTTCTTGGGTCCCATTTTGCACGTCCCGGATGGATGATAAATCGTCATCGTGTACATCCTAGCTAGACATCGCCAATAGTCATCCGACGCACACTGGTGCTTCGAACTACACTGTGGGTCGCATCTTAGTCGAGCGTTCAGTTTCTTCAACGTTGGGGTGTTCCTCATTTCGTGAACAATTTTCGCGCCTTCTACCTGAATTGATTAAAATTTCATTGCGTTTTCAAACATCCTTCAACATGCAATTTCCTAGAAATTCTTTGAAGAATCAATTCCAAGATCTTTCACGCGTTTGAACACCAGATTTACGGGCATTGATCGCACGTATATTTATTGATATTTTTCATGTTGAGGATTACCTTAAAATACGATTTTTCTTTTAATTAGAATATGTATTCATGCCATCAAATTCAACATAAGTTATTAAAAAATAATATTTACGTGTTCTGCAATTTTAAATATGGAATCTGACATCCGTCAAATTGACGGCTTTCGTAAATCTAGTGTTAATTAATTCGTTATGCCAACAAAAAGACAGAAACAACATTCGAGTTAGATTCTAGTTAATTAAACGAATAAATTGAATTTATTCGGTGAACAACAAATATCTCAGCAAACATGTGTCAATGATTATCAATGTCTGTAATTCGGATAGTCTATATTTTCTAATTTGGACAATATTGCAATAGCTGTCGAATAAATTTTTTCATTTCTGTCGAACAGTCAGCAGTCGTAATTAGGATAGCTTTTGATTAAAATAATTCTATGCAATCTTAAAAGTGAATGTGATTAATATGTTAGCTATAAATTTAATCAATTTACGTGACGCATACGCTACTTCGAATATCTTCTCCGTATCTTTCTATAATTATTTAATTAGTCGGATTATTTTACCAAGATATCGAGATCATGGGGATCGTCGAAGTAATTAGGAACGATGGCCGGATATTCTTGCGGATCCTTCGAGCGTAGCTTGATGTATCCTCTGCTTCGAGGTCTTAGATTGAGCGGTATGATCCAATACGAATAGTGAGTCAGGAGTTCTACACATGAAGGTTCAGTTCTATTCATACTCCGATACGCCTCGGGACAACCGTGCGGAATATCACCAGCGGGCGAGAGGAAAATCTGTATGTCAGGATAATCCGCCGACTTGTTTGCGTATCTGAAAGCAATATTTATTCAGTATGAAATCTCAGCGTGAACGTTTATTAGCACTAGAACTACCGGAAGTGGTCAAAATGGCTCGTAATTTCTGATAAAAATTGTACAAACATTACTCGACTGGATTTTTGAAAATTCACCCTAGTTTCCTGTAAGGGAATGAATAAACATTTATTTCCCCAAGTTTTTTCATTTGCTTGATACAAATAAATACACTACTATGGTGTACGAATGACGAACGATAAATGTTACGTGGAAAGTACTCACTTGGTATTAAAAAAAGCCGTGTTCTCCGATATCATCAACGAGTACAGAGGTCCATCTCGATTTAAAAAGAAATCGGAAACCGATGGCAGGTCGAAAGCTTCCGGCAAAAGGTATGTGAATGGTTTCGAGCCACTGTAATCCGCAGGAGCATCCACGAAGTAAGTCATATCACCTATCCCAGCGTGGTCCTGAAGATTTTTACCCACCCCTGGTGAATCGTGGACCACGGGGATCCCCATTTCTGTCAGATGATCCTTAGGACCGATTCCTGACAACATCAACAGTTGCGGCGATTGCACAGCGCCAGCCGATAGAATGACCTCGCGATTGGCCTTAACCTCGAAGAGACGTCCATCCACGCGGAATCGCACACCGTACGCGGTCTTTGACTTTCCATCTGTGAATTGAAAAGATGAAACAAATAATAGATCGAAGTTTTATTGCAGTTCGATCGAACAGAAGTAAACGTAAACGTCCAAGTTCGCGGTTGTAGTCCTTTTGCAGCCTCTGTTTTGCAAATTTTTATCCACTGGACATCGAATTCTTGCGTTAGGCGCGTCGTCGTTTTATGGGAATAGTTAAAAAATTGCGAGAAAAGATAATATGTAGGGTGTGCCTAACTACAGTCGTCCCTCGTTAATGTTCGCGAACGATATCGAGGGAGGTTACTATTCCAAGAATAATCGACTCGTATCTCTGTTAGGCTTGATCACGTTGCAGATGAGAACGAGTGAAATAGAAAGAACTGCTCAACGCTTGTTTATTCGACATATTCCAAGATCGTTCGGTAATCAAAGTACCTACATAGTTTTTTTACAAATTGCACGACTCACAGTGGGGCCATTGCATGCCAAACGCGGCTAAATGTGGTTTTATACAAACATACCCACAATGAAATAATGATTCACTAATAGTTAATGGGACACATGGGCCATGATTTAGTGTGATTTTTTTTATCATTTGTCGATTTTTGATACGACTACATGATTTTGAAACGTTCAATCTTAAAATCATCGTTTATTGTTGCTTTGATTCTTCAAAGTAAATGATGAGTAATTGAATTAAATGTACTTAGTACGTATTTAAATTGCACCAAAGTACACTTTTATATCTCCAACATTTTTTGAGTTATCACTAATTGAACATGTTCAGTTGATCATCTTTATATTTTTCGCAGTAGCAGCTAGTAGCAGCTAATTTTTTTTAAAAAAAAAAGGTAAGGCTTCACTCTACAAAAAGCAACTAAAACGAACACTGAATCACACTGCATTCATTATTAAAAAATAAAATGAAAACTGAACATGTTCAATTAGTTATAACTCAAAAAATGTTGGAGATATAAAAGTGTACTTTGGTGTAATTTAAATACGTACTAAGTACATTTAATTCAATTACTCATCATTTACTTTGAAGAATCAAAGCAACAATAAACGATGATTTTAAGATTGAACGTTTCAAAATCATGTAGTCGTATCAAAAATCGACAAATGACAAAAAAAATCACACTAAATAATGGCCCATGTGTCCCATTATTTCATTGTGGGTATATTTGTATAAAACCACTTTTTGCCGCGTGTGGCATGCAATGGCCCCACTGTGCGACTGTCGTATGGCAACTCAACCTTAAAATTGAAAAGGCTGATTTGTGAATAACGTTAGACCTTGTAAGATATTCACCAGAGGTCATCAGACCATTATTTTCTATCACATCTTTTTAACCCATTCGACATTCGCTTATTAAGTATTTCTTTTTCCTCATTTTTAAACTTTGCACGTTTTCGAGGAAGTTTGATCAAGCTTATGAACATTTAACAACCAGATTTACAACGTTTACTCCGTTAATGCAGTTTCTGGTATTGGTGGGGGTGGCGCCGCGAACAATATCGAGGGAAAAAGTAGCGAACGTTAGCGAGGGTCTTCTGTGTTTCGTCGCGAAAGGATTATTTTTTTCATAGAATCAATTATGAAGATACTTTGTTATTGGAAGGATTACAGTGATAGTAACGAATGAAAGTAGCTTGCCTGTGCGCACCAAAATCTTTTCCACGAACGTGAGAATACTGACGTGCAGATTCTTCCTCTTGGAAGCCGATCGAAGGAAACCCTTTGCGGTGCTGCAACGCAGTCCATCCCTCAACGTGGCATATGTGGGTGTAATTCCGGTTTGAATGGGTCCGTTCGGATCGTTCACTTCGTAACCTATCTCCTGGCCTGCTTTTATCAAGTAGTCGCTTACAGGTGATCTGTATCTAGGAAATTCTACGGTCTGATGACCGCCGGTATGGTGATAAGCAGGATATTGCAATGGGGCGACCCTGATGTCTTCAGACTTTTTGAAATAGGGCAACACGTCTTTGTAACTCCATCCAGGATTACCCATACTCTCCCAAATGTTGTAGTCTTCCTTGTTTCCACGAATGTACATTATCGCATTCAACATGCTGCTTCCCCCGAGAGCCTAGCAAGCATCAAAATACTTCAATAATAATAGTTGATTCGGTTCGTCTTTAATTAAATTTAATCTCGCGAACGATAGTTATCCACTTGTGTCAAAATTGACAAATATACACAACTTTCTCAATAAACTATTAAACCTGAAATAATTAAAATTATTACATATAAACTCGTAAAAGAAATAATAGTACAATTTTGATCAGTTTTTTCTATTATTTGATCAGTTTTTTTAAATCTATATTCAAGTTACACCGCTTTTACAATAAACTATTAAATCTGAAATAATTTAAATTATTACATGTAAACTCGTAAAAGAAATTATAAAATAATAGAACAGATTTATTTTAGATTTAATATTGTGGTTGAAAATATTTAACTTTTGATCAGTTTTTTCTATTATTTGGTCAGTTTTTTAAAATCTATATTAAAGTTACACCGCTGTTACAATAAACTATTAAACATGAAACAATTTTAATTGTTAAATATATCCTCGCAAAGGAAATTACTAAATACTAGAAAAAAATTTATTTTATATTACCGTGGTTGAAAATATTTAATATCGAATAAATTTGCTATTGAAAATGAGTTTAATGCTCGTATGTATACCGGTCGAAAGCTAGTCTATTTTATTACAGCGTCAGTGTAATTGCCTATTGATAAAAAAAATTTGCATTATTAAATATATTCTCGCAAAAGAAATTATTAAATACTAGAAACAAATTTATTTTATATTATCGTGGTTGAAAATATTTAATATTGAATAAATTTTCTATTGAAAATGAGTTTAATGCTCGTATGTATACCGGTCGAAAGCTAGCCTATTTTATTAGAGCGTCAGTGTAATTGCCTATTGATAAAAAAAATTTGAATTATTAAATATATTCTCGCAAAAGAAATTATTAAATACTAGAAACAAATTTATTTTATATTATCGTGGTTGAAAATATTTAATATTGAATAAATTTTCTATTGAAAATGAGTTTAATGCTCGTATGTATACCGGTGGAAAGCTAGTCTATTTTATTAGAGTGTCAGTGTAATTGCCTATTGATAAAAAAAATTTGAATTATTAAATATATCCTCGCAAAGGAAATTACTAAATACTAGAAAAAAATTTATTTTATATTATCGTGATTGAAAATATTTAATATCGAATTTTGCTATTGAAAATCAATTTAATGCTCGTATGTATACCGGTGGAAAGCTAGTCTATTTTATTAGAGCGTCAGTGTGATCGATAAAAAAAATTTATTAAATTATAATTGCCTATTGATAAAAAAAAAAGATAGAAAATTATAATTGTTTTCGAGCCTGATTTACTGTACCTTGCCACGTGGCCATATGCATCTACGATCAGGTGTACCTAAACAGTACTTATCCGAGGGTTCTGTTTTGAAGTTCCAACTGTACGGGCTGACTTGTAGAATCGGATTGAGGGCGGGTATATCCGTTATTTCCGGTTCATCTGGTCCAGCCTCCAACAGAAGTACCGACCAACTACTGTTTTCCGTTAAACGATTAGCTAACACCGATCCAGCCGAGCCAGCCCCGATTATAATAAAGTCATAGCTGCTTTGAATGTCGGATGGAGATATCGGTTTGACTCTGTTCTCGCTATCGACGATATCGGGCCTGTAGATCTGGAAGAGCAACTTCAGAGCGACCACGGAAAGTATCGAAGGCACGAAAGACGACCCCACTCGACGCAGGGTCTGTCTAGCGCTGTCTGGCATTGTTTCTGGTGTTCAACGAATCGCTGTGAACAGTCGAAGACGTAAATTATATTTCTAAAAGAAATTAACACATTGTCCAAAATGAATTTTTCGTCTGTCATATCTGAAGGAACTTGTTTTCCTCGTAAACTTACCCTTTGAACCCTCGAAATCCTAAATATTAGGTCTTTCAGACTTCTATAAGGAAATATGGCGTTATAGAAATAAATCGATGAAATTGAAAGTAACACTTTTATTTTAATTATTAATTTGTGATAAAACTAAGCGTCGAAGTAATTTGGGGAAAAACCATGTGAACTTTCTATCCAATAGTTTGGAACGATGGAAAGGAGCGAGAAAAAAAATTGATGAAAAATGGCCACGATATAAGTTGAGGAGAGAATCACTACGGTCCAGCAGAAGTTCGTTATAAATACTAATGCAACATGTTTTGTCCTAAGAAACCAATTTTAATTGCTTTTATTATGAACGATATATGTACTTACATTTAAAGTCAGAATTCACACTGCCTGTTTGATTCAGTGTGTCGTTACTTTCTGTGTAAAACTCGACAGAGGTGCTGTATACGTATTTATATGAACTGTGTTTGTTACGTAATAAAGATAACAAAGACTGTAATTAACATTTTCTGTAAATACAACTTGATAGATTAAGAGAGTCTCGTCTTTTTGTTTGTCGTGCATATGTGCAAGAAAGGTATTGAATTAGATCTTGATATATTAAAGTGAGGGGGCTGGTAGTTAAAATAAAAACGCCACGATCTACTCCGCAATTATTAAATGTTTATTCGTGGGTGTGGGTGTGTAGCCACACGTAGGTTAATATTACGACGTCTTTAACAGACTGCAATTATGACAACGACGACGTCTTTAACAGACTGAGTGCTTTTCTTCAAACTTTCTTCAATATATACTACTGTGTCCAAAAAGTAAGATGACTTTTCATTTTAAACTTCGTGGCTTTACCCAAACTGATAAACTTTTTTGTGTAGCTTCTTAGCTCTATTACTGTTATCTACTACATATTTCACGTCATTATCTTCAGTTGTTTTTGAGATACGCTTGTTTATCCACAACAGTAAAAATGCATTTGGGGATTTTCATAATGAATATTTTTGTTGACGAAAGAGTTTGCAATTAAGTTTTGTTTGCGGAATGAATATTCTGCTGCGGATACTTTGGAAATGTTGCGAAAAGCCTTCGGCGCCCAGGCTGTGTTGAAAAAACATGTTTATAAGTGGTACAAAGAGTTCCAAGATGGTCGAGAAAGCGTTGAAGACAAAGAGCGCCAAGGATTGTCATCAATGTCTACTGATCAAAGCCATGTCGATGAAATAAAAAAACTAGTGCTACAAAATCGTCGACTGACAATAAGAGACCTTTCAGACACTGTTGGCATTTCAAAAGGGTCAGTGAATACCATTTTGAAAGATGTTTTGGCCTTGAAACGTGTCAAGTCCCGATTGGTACCGAAAGCACTGAATTTGTTCGAAAAAAAGCGTCGTATTAACATCTGTAAAGAGATGATTTCCGACTATTAACCAGTCGTGAAACGCATCATTACGGAAGATGAGACTTGGATCTATGCCTACGACACGGGAACAGCTGACCAATCGAGCGAATATCGTGCTAAAGGTGAAGAAAGACCGAAAAAATCGCGCCAAAGTCGTTCAAAAATCAAAGTCATGTTAACAGTTTTTTTCGATTATCGTGGTGTGGTGCACCATGAATTCCTTCCGCCAGGCCAAACTGTTAATAAGGAATACTATTTCTCAAAAAAAAGGCGAGGTCACCTTTCATACTTGAATCACTTATTCGTCACCTGAACACGCCACGAATCATATTTATCAGTCATATACTTGTATACAAATTTAAAAAAATAGTACCATAATGTGTTTGTTTCAACAAACTCGAACTCACTAAAAGGACAATGTTAAGTCATAGAGGGGTTTACTGACCCAAGAGCGTACAGCATATGCTATACACCGTTGGAAAGGTCTCGCCAAGGCGAATCGACTGATACCATTTTTAACTTCGATATCAGATGGGATAATGTCGAAAAATGACCTCAAAGTTCGAGATTTTGCGGTTTTGAACAAAAGAAACCGGTAGTAAAAGCCCATCCGTCCAGAGGGACCTCGGGTAGGCACCTGAGGAAAAACCGAGGGGTGTAAGCGATACTCTAGCAGATTGGGACGGCAAATGTGCCCCACCACCTTCATTGCAGTGCCGTGTTGGGCCTGCGTTTGTCGCATGGGCCCCGTTCCAAATGCCCAGGGCGAAATCGCCAATGGATCAGTTGTTTTTCATGAACATAATATATTCATGATAGACGATTCGTAGGTATGAGTTGGGAATATGCAGGTTAGTATTCAGTATTCACATCATTATGTTTCGTACAATCAATAAAATGTCACTCCATTCACTATTGTAAGTGACGCATTAGTCTGAATACTAATCTGCACATTCCCAACTTATACCTGCGAATTGTCTACCATGAATATATTATGTTCATGAAAAACAACTGATCCATTGGGGATTTCGCCCTGGGCATTTGGAACGGGGCCCATGCGGCAAACTCAGGCCCAACACGGCACTGAAATGAAGGTGGTGGGGCACATTTGCCGTCCCAATCTGCTAGAGTATCGCTTACACCTCTCGGTTTTTCCTCAGGTGCCTACCCGAGGTCCCTCGGGCCGGATGGGCTTTTACTACCGGTTTCTTTTGTTCAAAACCGCAAAATCTCGAACTTTGAGGCCATTTTTCGACATTATCCCATCTGATATCGAAGTTAAAAATGGTATCAGTCGATTCGCCTTGGCAAGACCTTTCCAACGGTGTATAGCATATGCTGTACGCTCTTGGGTCAGTAAACCCCTCTATGACTTAACATTGTCCTTTGATTGTTAATTATAAAATGTATCGTTTTCGTAATTCACATTTATAACTTCAATTTGAAATCAGTAAAAGAAAAATCTTTACGTACCGTGCATTTGTAAATCTTGAAAAATCGGGAAACCTACGCGATCTCGAGTAGAAGCAGCTAGAAACAACTGAACCCCGGATCACAAAACTTCCGTTTAAGAAGGCAAATGTTCGTAACGAAATAGTACGTTCACGTTTACACAAATGTTTTTCCACTGTTATTGTTCGTTTAAGTGTCTTTATTACGTCATAGAAGCATGATTCATCACGTTTTACAGGTATGATAAACTGCATAATATAATCGTAATTCCTTATTTGACGATACTTCACGTAACAATTTTAACAATAAGACATTAATACAATTACTTTCCATCAATTTTGTGTGAAGGTATAGTTCGGGGCATGATATAGCGAGGTCGTAAACTAAACTCTTGAGGGTTGGGACCGACTCCTGCTGCGGCACTTAGGGTACTTAGGGGTACATGACATCTTGCTTAAGGGTGCCTATGTCCGCAATTGCACTATCTTTTTTCATTTTCTACGTGCATATATTATAAGCAGGTAAATTACGATATTAAAGACTTGAGTAAGACCCTTACCTGTTACGATACCTCTAAAAATGGTTTTCTAAAAAAGGCGACACTAGATAAAACATTTCTGCGTACGGTCCTGACTATGATTTAAGGCCCTTAACTGCTCGTATTTCTGTCAATTCACTTGTTTCGGGAGCTGAAACGTGTAAACTGACACTGTCAGAAACTCGGCGAGGTTTACGATACGGTCGCTTGTGAATATCGCTATTTTTGAGGACAGCTTGTTAGAAAGGACAATGTTAAGTCCTAGAGGGGTTTGAAAAACAACTGATCCATTGGGGATTTCGCCCTGGGCATTTGGAACGGGGCCCATGCGGCAAACGCAGGCCCAACACGGCACTGAAATGAAGGTGGTGGGGCACATTTGCCGTCCCAATCTGCTAGAGTATCGCTTACACCTCTCGGTTTTTCCTCAGGTGCCTACCCGAGGTCCCTCGGGCCGGATGGGCTTTTACTACCGGTTTCTTTTGTTCAAAACCGCAAAATCTCGAACTTTGAGGCCATTTTTCGACATTATCCCATCTGATATCGAAGTTAAAAATGGTATCAGTCGATTCGCCTTGGCGAGACCTTTCCAACGGTGTATAGCATATGCTGTACGCTCTTGGGTCAGTAAACCCCTCTAGGACTTAACATTGTCCTTTGAAAGAACAACTCTACTCGGTGCCGGTTCTAGGGTAAGTGCCAAGAGGTCAAGCTTAGTCCTCTTACCAGAAGGCACCCTTGCCTTCCCCACTCCGTGGCCAGATCCTCAAGGAACAGAGTTCCTATTCTTTAAAGCAAGACAACGCCGGGTCGCTTGCCTTCAATCCTATGACGCCCGATAGCTGCGTGACTTCGAGTCACCAGCCATCGACAGGCATCTGGATTGTGTCCTTGCAACCATCCCTCTTGGGCCCCACGCAGGCTAAGCCCCTATCATAAATCGTTCGAAAACGAAATATCGTCGAGCTAATTGCCCTCGACGTCCCTTAAAAATAAGCCGTCGCTAACAGGCTAATTTCAATTCGCTTGTTAATAGTTACAGCTAAACGAAGAGTCAGGGCCCTAAAGAATCATTACAAAAATTGAAGCAATTAGGAACTCGTACCAGGGCCCTGCTCCATCGTTCTCAATAGCGATTGACGTGTCATAAACCTTCCACCTAGTCGCGCGGTCGATTAACGGTCTTGGTACTATACAACGATGATTTGTTGGCTAGGCGCCCCCGAACTAAACGGGGCAAGGGCAAGGAGAGAAGGCCTACGCGCCGCCTTATTCACGCTACATAGTAGTAGAGTCTCCATGACCACAAGAGATACACTTTCGTTCTATTCATGGCTAGTATTTTGATTGTCCTATTCTACTCTGTTCCTGTACGTTTCGTTCGTGTCCTTTATTACGCGATGGAATTGTAGTCGTGAGCGACTCAGTCAATAATGGAAATGCGTGTGAGAGCAGGCGTCGCTATTAAGCTTCGGCCAATCGGCGTGCCTAGCCATCAAGTCATCGCTGTATAGTACATGGGCACGGTCCCCGGTCGGGTGTTGGGAAATATCCATTCTCGGGGTCCAGTTTGTACCCCGACCAGAGACGTTGGCTGATTGGTCAGTTTCGTTACGCCTCATCGGCAATTTTAGTGTATAAGAAGAGCATCGGAAGACTTTGGCAGATTAACAACAAAATTATAATTGGAAACGTCACTGTATCTCTTGTTGGAATAAATAAACACCAAATACGAGAAGGTGGTCCTTCGAGTTGTATCTAGCCGGCACACCACGTGCAAACTTACAATTTCCGAACGAGCAACACTCGACCACGGAACGAACAGACACTTACTCGAGTTTACGACCTCGCTATATTGTGGCCCGGACTATACTTGTTGGTTTTTCTCTTCCAAAAGAGAAAGTTTTCTTTCCGTGACAAAAACCATCGACGCGTGTGTTGCGTTTCGCGTTTCGAGATACAAGTCAAGAGGGTGCAGCTGTGCCCCTTCCTTGGCTTGTTTAGACAAAATACAAGGGCAAGAGGATACGGGACGAATTTTTCGTCACTAATGTTTCTTTCAAACCGTGCAGACGCGCCTTCCAAATGTTTCTAATAAAGCTTATTGTTAGTTAAAAGTTATTTCGTTCAAATTGTTTTTTTATTCCACCGCCTATTTCCAATGGTACTCTTAGTGAACAAAACAGTAGTATTACCATAGTTATATATTGTCAAATACATTCATATCATAAAATTAATTATTTCATCTTGTCATATATTATATCATATATCTTTCCAATCTTCCTTGATCATATCAGCCCCTTTTTCAGCGATCATGATCGTCGGTGCGTTCGTGTTACCCGTAGAGATTGTCGGCATGATCGAAGCATCGATCACTCGCAGTCTATCGATTCCACGAACCTTTAATCTGTCATCTACCACAGCCAGTGGGTCGATTTCGGGACCCATCTTGCACGTCCCGACTGGATGATAAATCGTCATCGTGTAATTCCTAGCTAGACATCGCCAATAGTCAACCGATGGGCACTCGTACGACGAACATCTTGGATCACACGCCGGTCGAGCGTTCAGTTTCCTCATCGATGGTGTTTTACTCAATTCGTGAACGATTCTCGCACCTTCTAACTGTATTAATTAAAATTTCGTGCGTCTTAAGTATATTGCAACTTCTTTCGTATATTTTGATTGATTTTCATACGCCAGAAAAGGGAACGAAATATTACTGCTCTAGAGTGTCCACGCTAAAGTGTGACAGTCGCGATATTTCAATAACTATTGATAATACGAAAAAATTGTTTGTATGAAAATTGCAGGATAAAATAGAATCTTTATTTTGGCGTAAGCGAAAATTTTGTTTATACCATTAATTTCAAAGATACGATGGTGAAGTTTCGTTTTTTAAATGGAACTATATATATATTTTTGGATCATGCGATAGTGTTTCTCAAGACGAATTCATTAACCTGCAATTTTTTCACCCGATTTTTATTAGTTTTCAAGATATAACGCTTGGAAATTTATTGATTTTCAGCGGATTTATCCTGCAATTTTCATATAAACAATTTTTTTGTGTCATCAATAGTTATTGAAATATTGCGACTTTAGCGTGAACACCCTGTATATTTTACGTTGATTCTAGTAAATGTAAATTTCAGGAGTCGATCGAAGTCATCGAAAGAATAAAAAGTTCTTAGCATGTACTTTCGAACACTTTTTGGCGTCCGTATTAGTATAATAATTTGGGCATTTTTTTATATCTTTCTATGAGTAATTTGATTCGTTTACCCCGACTTCGAGATCGAAGGGATCGCTGAAATAATTGGGAACGATACGCGGTTGATCTATTAGATTCTTCGTTCGCAGCTTGATGTATCCTCTGCTTCGAGGTCTAACAAACGTTGGTATCATTAAGTACGCATTATTGTTCCCAACATTCTCGCAATATTGACTGGATTGTTCGTTGTTCCCGTTGATCGAATTCCAATCGGAAGGGATACAAGCGTGCGGAGAGTCGCCTTGGGCCCCCAGGAAAATCTGTATGTCCGGATAATTCGCCACCTTGTTCGCGAATCTGAAAGTTGAATTTATTCTATAATATTCCAATGTCTCAATATGGATTTTCATCGGGAAAACCTCTACACTAGGGTCAGTTGCCCTAATATGGAATATTCTTTTTTATACACATGTTTCACTTGCTTGCAGAATTTTTATAAAAACTTAAATATTATGAATTCATAGCAAAATTTTATGCTCTTTTGACTGGTAACAATCAAATTTAAAATATAATAACGGTTTAGAAAATGATTACTTTTTTTATTGAGCTCTTCATTTTCTATATTTGGCTCATGGTGCTCGTAATATGGAATACTGTATTTATATTCGAAGAAATAATCGAGCTAACGCAAAGCTCATGCACTTACTTTATTACGTATTATATTAAATCAGAAATCACTTTGAAAAACTCAGACTGCGATATTTTCTTCAATATTCTTTTACGAACACGTGCCCGAATTAGGAATGTACCCATATTAGGGCAACTGATATTATTAAAAATAAGATATTTAATATTTGTTTCTTTAACCGATGATGTCCTTTTGCATCAGATAAATATGGAATTTTATATAAAATGTAAGATGAGAATGACGTAAAAATACGAAACAAAAAAAAAGGAAGGGAAAATTTAATTTTAAAAGAGATTAACGATTCATTGAGGTAATAAATATTTTTTGCAGCAAGCATTTGAGTCTGAACATGATCTATTCACGCAATATCTCTGCCCTATCAGCGAATTTCATTCGGGTGGTCTGCAGGTGTAACGAAAAATATAAAACCTTTATATGTTTAGAATAAAAGTGTTTGCGTCGCATTTGTGGCATAATACTTCACGAAATACTTACTTAGAATAAACGAAAGCCGTAGCCTCGATGTATGCTACCGAATATAGAGGCCCGGTGTGATTTTTGGCAAATTCCATGGCCGATTTCACGTTTACGTTTTCTTGTTCGATGTATGTGAATGATTTCGAACCTCTATAACTCGCAGGTGGATCCACGTAATAAGTCATACCACCTATCCCAGCGTGATCCTGAAG